CTTGCAATTTCTGGATTTTAAAAAGAATTTGAGTGTTTGATTGTATGTTCTCTCGTGACATAAACAATAACTCATTGATCTATTTTTAGTGACAGGTAGGTCAGCTTGCTATTTTAACTCTTATTTTAGTTCCTTTTTTGACAAAAATCCATTACTTTTGTATATTCTTCAGCTCAGCTTAGGTTGTGTTGCATTAAGGATTTTAAGACGCTACAAGCTCCAAGTGGGCAGCCATGGGAGTTCCAGCCTTCTATAGGTGGTTAGCAGAGAAGTATCCTTTGGTGGTTGTGGATGTAGTTGAGGAAGAACCGGTTGTGATAGATGGCATTGCCATTCCAGTTGATACGAGCAAACCCAATCCAAACAATCTTGAATTTGATAACCTCTACCTCGACATGAATGGCATTATTCATCCTTGCTTTCATCCTGAAGATAGGGTAAACTTCGACACACATATTTAGTACTCTTTATTTTAGAGAATATTGCAATATATTTGTGGCGGAGAGTGTCAAACCTTAATTTATTGGATGTAGGCAACATTGGTTGGGATCTGTTATCCTATAATATGTCGAGGGAGCCAACATAGTCTATCCACGTAGGACCTGATTAAGAAATTATTTCATTTTATGTCACCTAATCCAAGAAATTTAGGCTAGCTATCTCAAATGCTAGAATAAGTGAACCTACCAATGCTGAATGGTATTCCTTTTAGTTGGATATTCTCACTCTACTAATGTTGTCGGTTGGCATAGGACTTGATATGAACCGTAGTTTCAGTTTAGGAATATGCCTAGTTTCCTCAAAATAAAAGCTTAAACGTATTAAGTTTCATTCTCATCTATCATTTTATAGTGCATGTTGACTTGACTGTTCTTACTGATGCAGCCTTCTCCAACAACTTATGCTGAGGTATTTCAATGCATGTTTGATTACATCGATAGGCTTTTTGTCATGGTGCGGCCTAGAAAATTGCTATATATGGCTATTGGTGAGTTCCTAGATTTATTTATTTATTTTTTTGCTGCTACAAACTAGAGATATAAAGGTGTGATAGTGCTGGGTTTTAATGTTTATTGCCTGTTGAAATGAATGTATAGATGGCGTTGCCCCTAGGGCCAAAATGAATCAACAGCGATCTCGGCGATTTAGAGCTGCAAAAGATGCAGCAGATGCGGTATGTGCTTTTGTTTGATATTGTATTTTCTGAGGTTAGGTATGTATGCCATTCAGCTGTTGGACTTGACTGAAACTATCAGGGTTCATATTCTCTTGGGCCATCTTCCTGACCATTACATGACTAATAAGCTCCTTGAATACTGAAAGTTTTTGGTGATTTGGTAGTATCTACTTTATTGTTTTAGTTTTGATGGTATTTAAAACTTACATGGCCTGTTTCCCTCTCCTCTATTACCTCCATTTTGAATGTTCTGTTGCAACTCTTTTGTAGGAAACTCTTTGTATTTTCCATCAGTTGAATGAGATATTTTGCTTTTAAAGAAATTTGTATGTAGGATGCAGCTTTTTATTATTTGTTTTTCTGCCCCAGTATGATACTATGATATATATTTTTAAGTGCTCAACTGCATCCATTTTATGCAAACGATTACGTACAAAGAAAATATCTTGATATCAACATGTAATCAGCTATATTTTTTCCCTCTTAGGCAGCTGAAGAGGCACGACTTAGAGAAGAGTTCGAGAGGGAGGGACGAAAGCTTCCCCCAAAGCAGGAGTCACAAGTTTTTGATTCCAATGTTATCACTCCTGGAACGGACTTTATGGCTGTGCTGTCCATTGCTTTGCAGTACTACATTCATCTTAGACTAAACAATGACCCTGGTTGGAAAAATACTAAGGTTCTTTTACATGACTGAGTTACTTGTATATTATTTATCAGTTGTAGTTTTATTAGTAAAGCCAGTCTTGCCCTTTGTTCCTTTATTGGAACTGCTTTCAAAATGTGCAGGTCATTCTTTCTGATGCCAATGTTCCGGGTGAAGGGGAACACAAAATAATGTCCTATATTCGTCTTCAGAGAAATCTTCCTGGTTTTGATCCAAATACTCGTCACTGCCTGTATGGTTTGGTATATATTTTTTCTCCATACTTATTTTATGTAATTCACACATCTCCTAAATATGTATACATTTTTTAAAAAAATTTTATATAACTCTGTCACGCGTTGAATCCGTTGTATCACATGATTTTACAATTGCAGGATGCAGATTTGATAATGTTGGCATTGGCCACCCATGAAGTCCATTTTTCAATTCTGCGTGAGGTTTGTATTTTTACTAGTATTTTGTGTATGCTCCTTCAGTTTTTAGAGTTTTGGGTTATTTTTAGCAGCTTTGCATGTAGCACCTACATCCTGTGGAGAAGCCACCTATTCATTATTCCAATATATTCAATGTTTTTGAATTCTATTTTATAAGCAAGTAACAATGTTGTTTCTTGTTAAACTTCAGATTGTTTTCACTCCTGGACAGCAAGAAAAATGCTTTTTGTGTGGCCAATTGGGTCATTTTGCATCTGACTGCGAGGGTAAGGCCAAGAGAAAGGCTGGAGAGTTTGATGAGAAAGGTGAAGATGTTGTAGTTAAAAAACCTTACCAGGTAGGACTTTGTGTTGCTGTTGTTATTTGTACTGTGGTGCAACAATAGGACATAAATGGTTTATGGTCTTTTATTGTGCAGTTTCTCCATATTTGGACACTTAGAGAGTATTTGGAGCATGAGATGCGAATTCCGAATGCTCCCTTTGAAATCGACCTTGAACGCATTGTGGATGATTTTGTGTTCATGTGTTTCTTTGTTGGCAATGACTTTTTACCCCATATGCCCACATTGGAGATCCGGGAGGTAAATTTCATATTTGAACTTACCATTTGATAAGCTAATGAAGTGTGTTGACTTCCAGAATGAATTGTTCTATTTCAAGATGTGGGAAATCCCCTTTTTTTTATTTTTTGTATTTTTTGCATGCTTAATATTAGATATCTTGTCTCTTGCTAAATTCCTCTTTGTGAGCTTCTGTCTCGTACGTTTTTTTTTAATACTTAGTGGTTAGGTCTTGCTCTTTTGGATTAGAGCTTTTTCGTTTGGTAATTAGTTAGCGTGGGTTTCATTTTGGCTCATTTTCTTGGGCAGTCTTTTTGAATGCTCTATTTCTCTTATTTTTCTCAATGAAAGCTAAGTTTCTAATAAGAAAAGATTAGATAGTTGTTGGCTCTTATTTATGGGCAAAAGAAGTTCGGTAGATAAGTGAGCATTGAGCTTGTTAGCTTGTATCTAGAATGAAAAAGCAGATATATAGAGGTATGTTCTATTAGGAAGAAAAAATATTGACAACCCCAGAACTTTGAAGAAAAAAGGAATTGTTAGTGTAGATCATACACAAAAATCATGTTTGTGGGAAGTTCTATGTGGAGGACAATTGTTGTCAGCTTTTCTTATCTAGTAATGGATATCATGTGTTGGTTGATTTGGTTGCATTAGGACAGATCTAACCTAAGTGGTTTGAGTGACTTTTCTTCTTGCAACATATAAATACAAGCACTGTAATAATTTAGATTCTTTTTACATTGACAAGTTATGCAAGTGTGTATGGTTCATTGCTATTTTGTTCTTTATTTCCAGGGTGCAATTAACTTGTTATTGGCGGTGTACAAGAAGGAATTTAGGGCACTTGGTGGGTATTTGACTGATGGAAGCAAGGTAATTATGTTTCTTTTTTTAGTTTTATTTTTTAATGTTATATTACCTTCTGTGAGCTCGGGCAAAAAGAAATGTTTAACTGAGGTTTTTATGCCAGCCAAATTTGCGAAGGGTGGAACATTTCATTCAAGCTGTTGGAAGTTATGAAGATAGGATATTCCAGAAAAGAGCTAGACTTCATCAGGTTCACTCTTTTCTCTATATATGCGTTCATGACTATTCCTTAGAAGCAATCCACATCTGTCTCTCGTCCCCAAGTCTATATGCTAGGAAGCACAGATGGGTGGGTTAGGGAAGGAAGGGGGTGCAACATAGGGGGGAGGGAACATTTTTTCTTTGGCCAACTCGATCTTGGAGGGCTATTATACTTTGCACCTCTATGTGAAAATTTAAAATAATACTAGTTATTGGGTTGGGTTGGCCACAATTCTTCTTTTTCTGTATCATTTCGACTAGTTGCATGTTGGTTTCAATTTTTTAATAGACCTCTAGTTTCTAGTTAATTTGTTGATTAAATCTTATAATTGCCAGCATCCTATCTGTTGCATGACTATGATATTCTTTCTATTCTCATACTGTTTGTTTGTTTTACCCAGAAGCAGGCAGATAGAATAAAGCGTGAAAAAGGTCAGGCAAGAAGAGGAGATGACGTGGAGCCTCAGGTTCAACCTTCCCTTGTTGCAGTTGGTCGTTTTCATGGATCTCGTCTTGCTTCGGGTCCTTCTCCTTCGCCGTATGAACAATCAGGAGTTGGAAAAGCCATGTCCAAATTTTCAGGAATGAAAATTAAGCATAAGCAATCATTGGAATCTGATGGTAGCGGTTCCCCTGGTCGGCTTAACAAAGTTGCACGCCTATCATCTGGGGCTTCCATTGGTTCTGCTATCGTTGAAGCGGAGAACACTTTGGAAATAGATGTATGTTTTCATGCTTCAGGAGAGACACTACTCCATCAGCCATTTTTAGGACTATTTTATGGCTAACCTTTAATTGGGTATGAGCCTTGCTGGCATGGAGTTCTTCAGTACACTATTGAAAAAGGTTTAGAATGCTACTTGATATTTTTTATCTTTTAGATCTACGAGAACAAGGAGGACTTGAAGACAAAGCTTAAAGAGGTACTACGTGAGAAGTCTGATGTTTTCAACTCAAATAATCCGGAAGAGGACAAGGTTTGTATCTGGAAATTTATCATTGTACTGCTTGTTTGCATCTTGCATACATCATAATGACCTATTTTAGATTTCCAATTTTCCTTTTAAATTTAAGATTCTCGCACTATACTGCTACCAATTTGTAATGCATGGTTGCCATTCCCTGTCGTCTTATGATTTGTTTTCTTTCATGCTACCATGGAACTAAAATGACTTATAAAGTCCTGTTCGATGTTAATAGTAAACTGATAATTGTATAGTAAAGTAATCAATTTGTGTTAAACTCATCTTAAAAGCTGAATAAATGTTGGTGGTCAGATTAAATTGGGGGTACCTGGGTGGAGAGAGAGGTATTATGTGGAGAAGTTTTCGGCAAAAACTCCGGAGGAACTTGATGACATACGAAATGATGTTGTAAGTTAAACAAAATGAATTACTATTGATTTTTAATTCTCTTTGTCTGATATGATTGTAGGCTAATATTTTGTTTCGTGTCAGGTTTTGAGGTACACAGAAGGCCTATGTTGGGTTATGCACTATTACTATGAAGGCGTTTGTTCTTGGCAATGGTGAGTTTTTAAACTCCCTTTCTTTTGGCGCTTTTCTTATATTCTCTTATTTCTGATATATTTCTTACAATTGTCTCCGATAGGGGTGCTATGAAGCACATACATGCCGTTTTAGGTGGAGTGTCCGTGTCGCACACGGATACATCCAGACACGTGTCCGACACGCTATTTGTGTGTCCTCTTCTTTTTTTATTTTTTTATTTTTAAATTTCAAACACACCTTGGAAACACCTATGTCATATATTACACACGGTGGTTAAAATTTTAAACAAAAAAATATAAAAAAGAAAGTTAAAAGTAAAAAACTAAAAGGTAAAATCTCCCTGCCACGGAAAAGCTGAAGCATGAAGATGAAGTTGAAGTTGAAGGCATCTCCTGCCTTTTCCACCACCACTGCTAGCCTTTTACTCACGGAGAAGAAGATTTGAAGAAGAAGAAAAAGAAGAGGAAGAGTGGGGGAGAAGAAGAGTTCGGAAGAAAAAGTAGAAAGAAAAAAAGAGTTGGAAGAGGAGAGAAATAGTTGGAAAAAGGAAAAGAAAAGATCAGAGAAGTATAAAAACCGAAATTTGAATAAGAAAAAGAATAAGAAAACTAGGAGAAGAAGAGTCTCTGCACGGATTACTAATTGCATTACTTATCACTAGTTGCATTAGCCAGATGGCAGTATATCTCTCCTTGCCAGATGGCAGTGTATCTCTCCTTGCCAGATGGCAGATTCCTACTCTCATTAATACTATGTTTACAAACCACCCTTTGTACTGTTTTAAAAAACAATCCGATTCACTATTTATTTACTGTTTTAAGAAGAAAATCTGACTTGATATCTCTACTTTAATTATTCTTTTGAAATATTAAATAGTTTTGTAATATTTTTTGGCTTTTAGAATGGAGTATTTATTTTTACTTTTTATCTATATTTGTTATAAATAATATTTGTATGATTAATTTATTTAGAAGTATTACTACATAAATATACATATGCATTATCTATTTTTTCTTTTAAAATAACGTGTCCCTGATGTGTCCGTCTCCTACCTTTTAAAAAATTAGCGTGTCTGTGTCCGTGTCTCAGTAGAGGTGTATGTGGTTTTGTTTGCTTGGTTTTAGAGCCGAATCGAAGCCAAACCGATAACAAATAACACATTGACAGTAGATCGAGCTGAATCCAAAATTGAGCCAAGCCAAATTGACAACCTGTTGGTTTATCGATTTGGTCTGGTAGTTTAACCGATTAGTGTTGGTTGGTGGGGTAGCAGATCTATGCTGCCACAAGTTGTGTTGTTGTGCCTTTGGTGTGCAGATGTGTCGCCAACACAATATGAGGGTTGAAAGAGGAGAGTGAGTGGGAAGAGGATGGTGAAGGGTAGGGCTTGGGGAGAAATGAAAGAAAGATTTAAAAAAGATAAATGTGTGAAAATGTGATTCACGTTATTTGGGGGATTGGTAATAGGCCTTGGACCTTGGGTTAAGGGAAAAATGAAAGGAAGAAATTAAAAAAAAATACAAAATACAAAATAATATATACATCATATATTTGGTTCAGTTCGGTTTAGGATTCGGTTTTCGATCTCCAAAATCGAACCAAACGTTTTGCTTACTGAACTGCTAAAATCTGTTCGGCTTGGCTTAGCTCGGTTTTTGATATCCATGTTTATTTTAGGCGGTTCCATGTTTGCTCAACTTCATAGCTGGTATTTGCTTAGAGAATGCATTTAGTTTTTCTTATTCTAGTGCTATGCGTCTAGTTGTTTACTCATGTTATTCCTTCCTCAGGTTTTATCCCTATCATTATGCACCGTTTGCTTCTGATCTCAAGGGTCTTGGTGAGCTGGATATTTCATTTAATCTAGGCACTCCCTTCAAGCCATTCAATCAGCTACTGGGTGTTTTCCCTGCTGCTAGGTCTGTGCTAATTTTTTTTTCTTTAATGGAATTTCCATTTACCGAAGGCTTTAACATTGAATTTTTGCAGTTCTCACGCACTTCCAGAGCAATATAGGAAATTGATGACAGATCAGAACTCACCTATTATTGACTTCTATCCTTTGGGTACAGCATTTGGTTAAAATGGCTGCTTTAAGGTTGTCAAGTTTTTTTCCTCCCTCTAACGTTGGTTTGATTTATCAGATTTTGAAGTGGATATGAATGGTAAACGGTATTCCTGGCAGGTTGGTTTGCTTCACCTGTTAATAAATTTGATGAATTGGCTATAATTTGGTTATGTTCTAATAATCTGTACCAACTATTTTGCAGGGTATTGCAAAATTGCCTTTCATTGATGAAACCCGCCTTCTTGCAGAGGTTAAGAAAATTGAGCATACATTGACGGTATGTAATAAACTTGTGGTTCAGATATACCTCGATTGTTTGTCTTCTCATTTTATTTTCCTCCTCCCTGGTTAGGTTCGGGTGATCGTGCATATCCTTGGTTCTCTGAGTAATTGAATTTTCACATTTCTGCAGGACGAAGAGGTGCGGAGAAATAGTGTGATGTTTGACATGCTTTTTGTGACATCTTCTCACCCTCTCTCTGTTAGCATATACTCACTTGACAACCGCTGTAAGCAGTTGACTGAGAAAGAACGTACCGAGGTTAAGGAGAAAATAAATCCCGAACATAGGTTTGTATCATGTCAAATAACTTTTGTGTGTAGAACATTCTAATTTAACACAATCATGCTGGACATATTCAGATGTAAGCATTTCTACTGCAGCTTTCCATGAAAATTCTTGAAATCTGATTAACTCAAATATCATATCTCAGTTTACTCTTAGATCATGCTTATAGATAGGAGTATTCAGAAGAGAGCATAAAAAAATCTTGTGCATTTTCACCCAAAAATTGGCGGTGTGTTGTTCAGATTTCCAAAACTGTTAAATCAGAAAAGGTTCTCATAGTGGTTGTCTAGAAAATCCTAGCCTTTTGCTTGGACCATTAGCCTGAAAGAGCTCTGAAGAATAGTTCCTTTTTTTCTTTTTATTAAATCGTGTTTGCTTGATTTATATTGTAGAAATGTTTGATATATGTTTCTATGCCATTCTCCCTAAACTTTGTTGATGTACCAATTTCTACATTCAAGTTCTAGGTAGAAGTTTGTTATGTTCTCTTTGGAACTTAATTCTGATTTTATTTGGGGTTAACTGCAGTGGAGGAATGAATGGCTATATCTCTCCATGTTTGGGGGAGCTTTGCCCTCCAATATTCAGGTCTCCTGTTGAGGGCTTGGAGGATGTTATGGACAACCAAGTCATGTAAGAGTCTTGAGCGGCACTGTATTTGAATTCAACATTTGTCGAAACAATCATTAACTTAATAATACTAATGACACTTTTGCTCTTATACTATCTAGATGTGCTATATATCGACTTCCGGATGCACACAAGCACATCACTCAACCGCCTGCCAGGGTGAATCTTCCTTTGAAGGTATGTTTAGTAGCATACCGATGTTGAATAAATCACATGGTATCCTCCTGATTAATTTGACCTGCCGTTGTCTTATGGCAGACTGTGAGCATGGGTGACATGAAACCTGATCCTGTTTTGTGGCATGAAGATTCTGGAAGGAGGCACCATCATCAGGACAAGGGAAGATACGGTGATAATGGAAGGTACTACTGGGATTTGTTATGAAATTTGGATGTTATTACTAGTTAACTTCTGTTTCTTAGCAACGATTTTGAAACAATATTTTTTCTGGCATGTTCAACTTGGTGAGAATTATCTTTTTCAGGCCAAATCCTCCTGGAGCCATTTCAGGTCAACACCTAGGGGATGCAGCACATAGACTTGTTGTCAACAGCTTGCAGATGAGGGGAGATCGGAACGGTCATAGTAATTGGCAGACGCCCCAAATGTCCCATACGGCACCACCATTCTATCCCGGGAAACCTCCACATACAGATTATAGATCACGAGATCAAGCTGACTATAGGATGCCACCAGGTAGACAAAACTACTCCCATGGTCATCACCGACCAACAAATCCCAACGCGATGCGAGGCCACCGGGATCACGGGTATCATCAACAATTTCCTCCATCGGCTTCAGGTCATCGTGTTGACATGAGACCTCATTCCCAACATTATAATAGAGGTTACAATCAAGTGAATTCCCAATATGTCGATGAGAATCCTGAAGCTTACTACCCATCACGTCCTCATCAGGGTGACATGCCTCCCTATCCCCATAGACCTACATTGCACCCGCCAACATATGAAAGCGGTTACAATTACAACCAAGGCCCTGGATCATCCAGCAGTCAGCACCACGGTGGCGCCTGGGCTCCCCTGCCTGGCAACAACAGTGCCCCACGAGCATACGGACACCAATATGGAAACCAGTTTTCTGCACTTGATAGAAGAGGAAACGGGAGACCTTCCTCAACACCTCATGGCTATGATGGCCGCAGGTAAAAACCATACTGATCAAGTAAGTGTACGTCTAATCTAAAAGCTTTTTACAATTATAAACTCTACCATTTTTACAATTATAAACTCTACCATTGGCGCCACGATGAAGAAACTGTTGTACAATTCTACACAGCCTGCCGCTGTTGGCAGAAGTTAAATAACAGTCTTCCGTTGTCTACTTTCCCGAGAACCGTTCATCGGTATTAGGCTTCCTAGGCATTTTTCTCTCTGCAGTTTACTTGTATTTCTACTGTAGTTTGTTGATTGTTGTAGTAAAAAATTTAGCAATAAACTTCTAGCAATTTCTTTAAAATTTTTGGGCATTTGTGCTTTCTTTAGACTGAATCATGGCCATTATAGAGTATCACCAAACTCTTTTCTTATTTCTGGTAGGTTTGGCTTTTAAACAGATGAGCTTTAAAAGTTGCACGTCAGCTTTGAAATTCTTGTGTACAACTAAGATTCCAAGTATTCAACCTTTATGTTTTGAATATGAAAATGTTATTGAGATTAGAATTCATGGGGCCGTGAGCCGAATCCAAACAAAGATTGGTATATAACTTAGATCGTTGTTTAATTAATTTCAATATTTAACAAATTTCTCTCGGGTATGTTGGCCAATTGAGAGTTGTGAATTAGTTGCATTAAGAATTTTTTTTTTGTTTTTCAGTACACAACGTTGGAGAGAGAATTTGAACTCACAACTTCATGGTTGAGTTACGGTTGAACTATGTTCGCTTTGGTCTGCATTAAGATTTATTGGATAATAAAAGAATTTAGAAATTTAGCCCCTCAAGTATTGTGAATTTTAATACGTTTTAATTGGATTATATTTCGTTTGGGAAAGGTGACATATTTGGTTAAAAAAAGATTTATTGGACAATAAAAGAATTTAGAAATTTAGTCCTTCAAGTATTGTGAATTTTAACACGTTTTAATTGGATTTCTGGCATTTGGATTATATTTCATTTGGGAAAAGTGACATATTTGGTAAAAAAAAAAAATCCTATTATTCGATTTATAATTCTATAATGGAGTATTAGAATAGAAAAATTTAGCTAAAGTGAGCATATGGTAATTGACATATACCTCCAATCGAGATATTGTGAGTTCGAATCCCTTCTCCAAGATATTGTACTAAAAAAAATAGAAAAATCTATTAGATATTGAAGTAAAGACTCCGGATTAAAGGAAGGCAATTGAATGAAGTATATAAATAGAATATGATCACAAGTATTGGATTATTGGATTATTTAATAAAAAATACATATTATCTATTAGAGAAAATTTTGCCAAATTTGTCCTACGTGGCAAAAAATAATATCTCATACATCAAGATTTATTTGAGTATATAAAGAAATCAAATGTTGATGTGATTGAAGCTAGAGGGATCTGAAATGTATCAAGTAGCCAAAAAGAATGAAACAATTGAGAACTAATAATTCATTAATTTATTGAAGTTAGAGATTTGAATTAATAATTAAAGGAAAACAGTTTGGATTACGTAACTTTGTTTGGCATTATTATCCAAAATAAAATCCAATGTTCCCCCAGTGCCAACCCATACCTCAAAATGCAAACATGGTCTACGTGGCCACTGTAGAAACCGTTTATTAAATATTAAATACTTATATTATATTATTGAAAATGACTCAGATTTGACAACGAAACTTTTTGACATTTAAAGCCTTTAATGTGTTTGCCTCTAAACCACACCATTAAACCAAATCATTTGTCAATAGATCAACAGATATTCAATATAAAGACCCATTAAGGTAGTTGTTATAGCTCATAGGAGGTTGAAAGGCTTTCATGTGGATCACTTATTTAGAAGCACGTGTTTGGACTTCAATTTTAATAGGTCGAGAATGAGATGGGAAACACCATACCTATGACCAGTCTACAGATTCAGGATGTCAGAGCGTAAGCAACTTAATCAAGCGCTTTAGCTCGCCATCAACTTAGACTAAGTTTAGTAAGAATTTCACAAGAGAAAATTTCACAGATGACACTCAAAGACCCTATTTATACAAAAGTGTATCCTAATTTTAGAAAAAAAAAAGAATCTAAACTTAACAGAAATATTGTAACAAAAATGCAGAGCGCCTATAGTACTTATCATTCCTCCTAGAACAATGTTCTCTTTCAGATCTCTCATACAATCAATAAGATCTCTTGCTAAAACTCGAGCAGTTTCTTGAAAACTTGCTTCCGATATGACACCATTTCATTCAAGCGGGATCTGAAGTATCTACTTTACTAGGTAGAATGCCTTCTAATGTGGGTTATCAACTCACTCTTCGTATCGAAATGAGTTCCTTGTAAGAAAGAATTACTTCTATAAAGGAAGGGTCCATAACTTCTATTCAAGTAGTTTATGTATCTATGGACGATTTGACCAATCCTACTCTTGTCATGATAATTGCACATTTAGATGCTACTCTCATATAATATCAAGAGAATGATCTGCCAAAGGTATATTCTTTAGATTCGACATCTAACTATGCTACAACCTCGAATYGTTGGTGAAGAACATTATGAAACTGAGTAAAGAATTAAACAAACTCTTCGGTGCCAAGTATGAGAATTTTGTGCCCTAGAAAAGAGGGAAAAAAAAGAGAGAATTTTTGCATCCAAACAAAAGAAGGCATTAGTCAACTGTAGAAACCACAACATAATCTACAACAAAATAGGCTAAAATCCCGCAAGAATCTAATTTGCATACCAAATTCTTGGAGTCTTTGGCCATAAAAAAATGTTTTACAAAATAGAAAATTAATTTGGTAGTTGTTCACATTAAATTTCATCAAAATTTAGATAAAACAAAAAGGTTCTAGACTTTTAGTTGACCGTGGAATGTGACAATGTAATATATTCGATCTGGACCGTTAAATATTCTATTTGGTGGATAATTGAGATTTTGGCCGTTGATATAGATGGACATCAAATTTTATATAAAGAGGATGTTTTTTTAGAGAATTCTAGAACCCACTCCGATTAAAAGCTAAGCAATGTGATCCGCGATTAAAATTAAAATTAAAGTTGAAACATCTTGAGTATCTTTCAACCAATTAGATTGTAACTAATTTTGATCCACGCAAAAGATACTGATTTTATTATATTTTAATACGAGACAATTTTAAGAACTTTTCCTTCGAAAGAAAAAAAGGTACGGCATAAAAATGCCACTCCGATTTATAGACCAATCAACCAGAAAAGAAAGTTCCCGCTACTGGACAATAACCCCTCTGCCCTTGTTCTGGTTCAATATCAGACAAGATCCCTTTTCGTCAAACTCGTCTTTGAGTCATCGACTACTTATATATATTTGTCCCAAACATTTCCCCATGGTTAGATAATTATTGTCTAAAAGTTTACACATTAATCTAAAATTCAGGATAGTAATGCTAATTCATGTTTTAAAGAAAAAATATCTATATACTAAAATATTATTGTAAAATCATATCGTTGCTATTCATACTTAACTACATTTTTTTAGTATAACATATGGGTTAGAGATTCGAACTTACAACTTTTTGGTCTAAGATAAGAACTAAGCTATGTTCAAATTGACTCCAACTACATTATATCGTCACTTGAATTATTATTATTATATTTAGTAGGTCCCAAATTACTTCCACCCATAAATAATACAATTGAATAAATGTGACACTAATATAAAGTTTTTATAGACTATAATAATGTTGAGAAAATTTTTGGGTAAGAAGCCTATTACGTTGGCCAAAGTGAGGAATTTGAGAAGCCACATGGGCACTGCATGGTGCGTACGGCGTCGTTTTCTACCTCCATTCTTCTTCAAAACTCTCTGAAAATGATGTCCTTTGACCTATTTGTGAAGCTTTCTGGGAACCTTCCCTTCAAATTTTTTATGCCATAACTTTTTTTATTTTTAAAGATTAAATTTACTAATATTTTGCAATATGTTGTTCTTTTTAAAATATTTTATAACAATTTAAAAAATTTTGGAGTTTGTTAAGATTTTTAAAGTACATTTGAAAAGTTTATTTCAAATGAAAAAGGATATTATGTTTGAGAGAGATTTTGCTGGAAAAAAGCTTTATGGTCCCCATGGAATTTGTTTCGGTAGGTATGAGATTTTTGTTATTTTTAATGCTTTTTTAAAATAAATTTTGAAATTGGTAATTTTTTTTTCAAGATTCCAGATTTTTTGGTGATGATATATGATTTAACTTATTGACTTATACTTAAGTTGACACGAATTTATATATTTTTTAAAATATTGAAAAAATGAATGGTTTGGATGTATCCTAATAGATAATAATTTACCAAAATAGTTAAGATTTGGGAGTAAATAAGGATGATCCAAAAATCAGATTTACCACACATATTTAGTATTAGGCTAAATATATGGTGTTTTTSGGCTATTTTTTAAAATTTCATTTTAAATTTTTGTTATTAGAATTTCTATTTTATTTTCAATCCATCAAAGTTCTGGTTGAAAAAAATAAAAAGTATGACCACTTTTAATGTTTTTTTTTWWAAAAATCCTTAATTAGTRGTGCYATGAGATAGACTTATTTTTCTCAATATTTTAAATGGTTATGTAAGACTAATTTATAAAGTTTGAACTATTGTTAATTATTTTTGAATGACCATGTGATCACGATCATAAAAGTATATTTTTGTTGACAACTTGACAAATGCTCCTACTATATTTATTAGCCTTTCGACGAGAATTCMCAAACATCGAAATAAAARATTCAAGTATGTAAATKTCATTATTAATTTAATTCTTTATAATTAAAAACTTGTGATAATAAAYTTGTAAAAATTCATTAAACTTTTTATAATTAAATGAAAAAGTTAAAAAATCACACCAAACAAAACAATTTTGAAATCTCACCAAACAATCATTAATAATAAATATACCAATGATTACCACTTCTTCTCCCCATTGCAATAATTAATGAAATTTAATTCAATTGAAAAAAGGTTGATTTCACAGAAGCTTGGAAATAGAGACCCGTGATCTAAAATTAAAAATTAGATTGAAATGTCTTTATTATTATTATTATTATTATTATTATTATTATTATTATTATGAATATTTAACTTTTCAAAAAGAAAATTATTATGATTATTTAATTTCTCACTTTCTCCTTTCCCCTTACGGCTAAAGTACAACACAGCAAGAACAAAGCTGATTTGTATCAATTAATAATGTGGGTGTCATTAGCAATTTGATGTAATCTAATGTATTAAACTCCCCCAAGTGTATATTCAATATTCTTCTACACACACCCACACGTAATGATCTTAATTATTATTATATATATTTATTTTTATTATATGGTTCGCTTCACATGTTCTTTGCCAGGGTACAAACTTTCTAGACTTTGGTGTTAATTATTTCTTATACCAATTTGAATTTTATATAGGTGTATATATATAGTTTTTAACCACTAATTTGTGGCTATGTTAATTTGGATTTTGTTTACGGTGATTAAAATACTAAAAAAAAAAAAATCGTTTGGTTCTTAATTTCAAAACATAAAAATTTCATTGTCAATTTACATCTTTACTTATCTCAATAGACATGATATGAATTTGTCTCGTTTGATGTCTAGATATATCAGACGATAAGTAGTCTCAATTATATACTCTTTACCTTCTCAAATATTTCATTCTCGAAAAAGATTGTATAGAGATGAATCTAGAACCTCATAGATGTATCTAAGAGACGATGTTTATACAAGCCCATATACAATTAAGATATATAATAGAAGAAATTTTTAAAAAAAATTGTCCCATTTTTAGTAAAAATATTAAACTATGTCAAAATATCAAATCCACCTCAAAAATAACTTTTTAAAGAATGACGGTGTTAAAAAGAATAAAATGGATTTTTTTTAAAACATAGCTTAATAGATACTATTTTTTAAATCATTGTTTTAGTATGATATCTAATAAAATTTGAAGATGAAATAATTGTTATAGTAAAAAAAATATTTACTATTAAAATTTATTAGTATTTTAATTAAAAATAATATTTTTTTTAATACAACAATTAAAAATAATATTAATACATTTTAGTCGATCTATTTATAATTAACTTAAAATAATACAGGGGTATTCTAGTACTTGTTATATGTGTAATTCCTATTTCGATTACACATGGTTTTAGTAAATAATTTCTAACTCCAATTCCATGAAATTTCTAATAAACAAACAGGATCTAAGATTAATATTTTCGATTCTCTAATATTTTCTAGCATGGTCGTGATTTAATTTAATAAGTACCGAAAAGGAGATGTATGATGTGATGTGGTGTGGTGTGATATGTTTTTTTTTTCTTTTCTTTTTTCAGACGTGCAATATGTTGTTTTTTATATGTTTAAAATAAAATTAAAAATAAAAAACCACTTTCTTTCCCCATAACTACTTCTTCTACGGTGGGGGATTAATTTTTGGGCTCATGTATTCACGTGCTTCMCATATGCTAAGGTTTTCTGTTTATTGGATTTTTGTAACCAATTATTCAACCCACCTCCTTATATTATATCATTCCTACCACTCTTCTTTTATCGGTGGAATTTACTTTCCAATTTTTATTCTCATTTTCAAATTTTCAAATTCTTCATTACATGTCATCTAATTCCTTGTTCATGATTTCAAAATCGATGGAAGAATATAATTATGCAAGGATGAAAAAAATATATTGATGTTCCTAAAATCTAAAAGAAATTTTTTWAATTTTCTTAGTTATTATGTTTTTTTAAATATTACATCACAAATAAGGAAGATCAGAATTGAATCTATAATCACTGATATTTGACCAATTGAGTGAGTTATGTTCTCTTTAGTACTTAACTTATTCTTTTACAACGGCCTAAACCCCATAACCAGATTGTAGATGATGAAAGGAATCGATTTCAGTCCAAATCGATTGAATTCCGATTTTATGAGCAAGAACTATGCCTTTTTTTAGATTCATAATTTTAATGTACTCCATTGAGCATATCAGTCTTTTAGAGACCATAATTGAGTTACTGAAGTCTTGAACAGTAATTTGTTTGTTTTAATCGAAAGATAAAAACAAAATGTGGCAAAATAGCAAATCTTATTTTTGTGAAAATTTTGATTTCTATGAGGGGTTGAATATTGAAATTAGGGATAAAATTTTAAATAAATATTTAAAAAATTGTAATTATGATTTTTTTAGTATAATTTGAGATGGGGGATTGAACTCATAATTTATTGAATGAAGATATATGTAAATTATCGTTGAGCTATGCTCGAATTGACTTGTAAATATGATTTATCGTATAAGTATGATGGTATGCATTATTTATTATTTTAAAGAAAGCTAGTGTGACTTTTCGAACTAATATAACTTTGTTTTTGATGTATGACATGAATTTTTCATTTTTTCTATATAACCTTTTAAAGATTTTAATTTGGTTTGACTCTTTAGTTAGTAACTTAGTATAAATAATATATAAAATAAATATCGAGAGGAAGGAAACCAAAACTCATTGGAAAGAGAAATTTGACTATAAATATAATGTGGGTAATACTCAATAATATTTAAGTTTCTAGATCAACCATGAAAAGAAAATGATCAAATTGAACTATTATAACATAATTTGTTAGTACAATTATTACAACAAAATTAAATCAAATAACAGAACCATCCATTTGTTATTAGTGCATTAATTAAAATAGCTTCTCACGTTGAACACCAACTAGTGAAGCTTGCTTTTTAGTTTTTTTGCTTAATTTTATTCCGATAATCTAGGACCAATATAATAAATAAAATGGTGGGCAAAAGAGAAAAATGAAAGAAAAGAAAAGAAATAGCAGTGGGAATTCCTGCGATATATCACGAAACGAGAAGTTGAAGAGATTTTGCTTTGTGGGCCTTGAACCCATCGGCTTTTGGGATATAAAAATGGGCCTTTTCCACCCACCATTACTCCCTACGCCCACACCGTTCCCTCTCTCTCTCCTCTTTCTCTCTCTTTGCTAACTGAAAAATACGAAGCAATAATTGTGAAAAAAGAAAAATGGAAACACAGCGGCGTGAGGAAATCCAAGAGGTAGAGCACAATCTGGCGGCGGCGGCGAAATCGAGGTTCCGGCGAATCTGCGTCTTCTGCGGCAGCAGCTCCGGCAAGAATCCGAGCTACCAGATTGCCGCCATTCAACTTGGCAAGCAACTGGTACTTAATTTCCTTTTTTCTTTTTCTTCAAAATTTTCAAAGAAACAGAAAGAAAACGGCGACGAAATCGGCGATTGGCCAGTAACTTTCTCTTCCAATCATATTTCGATGAACAAAACGACTGTACCGAAGAATCGGAAGTTCGATTCTGAATCGCGCTCTAACAAAATTGTGAGAAAAGAAAAACAGAGAGAAAATAGCGACGGAGTTCTCTGAACTTTCTCTTGTTCGATTCCGATCATATTTCGATAAACAACAAAAAATTAAATCGAAGAATCGGAAGTTTCATTTGGAATCGCGATCATCTGAATTCTGAATTCTAATATTGAGAAGCGAAACGCAGGTCGAAAGGAAAATTGATCTTGTTTATGGCGGAGGAAGCATTGGCCTCATGGGCTTGGTTTCTCAAGCCGTCTACGATGGCGGACGCCACGTGTTAGGGTATCATTGGCTCTCTCTTTCTTTCTCTTTCTCTCTCTTTCACTCTCTCTTTGTTTTATTCAGTTTTGGTTCTGATATTGCAGGGTGATTCCCAAGTCTCTCATGCCAAGAGAGGTAATTTTTTAAATATATTTTATTATTTTATTCCATATTTTAAATAAATTTAATAAAAATAAAAATAAAAATGTGTAATTAATTATTTAATTAATTTCAGATCACCGGCGAGTCCATCGGAGAAGTAAGAGCTGTATCTGGCATGCACCAACGCAAAGCTGAGATGGCTCGCCAAGCTGATGCATTTATTGCTTTGCCTGGTACTTCTATTTGTTCCTATTTTCAATTTAGTCCTTAAACTTTCATCTATTTATAAAAATTAAACTTCCTTGCCTCTAGTTTAAATTAATATTCTATTTACAGGTGGCTACGGCACATTGGAGGAACTATTAGAAGTCATCACTTGGGCTCAGTTGGGCATCCATGAAAAACCGGTAAAATAAAATAAAATAAATCTAATTTTTGACCCTCAACAATATTTTACCTCGAAAAAGAGTATGGAAATGAAATTAACTATTTTAATTAGTTTAAGAAATAATAATATTACAGGTGGGGTTGCTGAACGTAGATGGGTACTACAACTCACTTTTATCATTTATAGACAAAGCAGTTGACGAAGGTTTCGTGGCACCGGCTGCCCGTAGCATAATAGTTTCTGCCCAAACTGCCCATGAACTCATCTCCAAGCTAGAGGTACAATCTAATCCATAAAAAATAAAATTAAAAAAAAATACCGCCGTAAAAATTCTTCCACGTGACTCTCGGTCCCACTCAATCATGTGATCAGAGTCGTCAATTTCTATCTGTGATCAGGAGTACGTCCCGAACCATTCTGACGTGGCTCCAAAGCTGAGTTGGGAGGTGGAACAGCAGCTCGGATATGCTGCAAAGTCGGATATTGCTCGTTGACCTGATGGCGACCACGTGTATAGATTAATCACCGTAGATCAAATCTGATCAGAGGATTGATTTGTAAAATTGTTTTTGTTTTTTCGGATTAATTTGTCCAATAGGAAGCTGACTAGGTCAACACTGAATTGTGTAAGCGATTATATAATAGTATTTTTCCCACGTCGGTGATAATATTAATTAATAACTATATATAATATATTGACTGGTGAATTGTATTGATGGGTCGTTGAATGTTGCTTTCAGATTTTTTTTTCCTTTTTTTTTAATTAAAAAAAAAGAGAAGGAGAAGAGATTGATAATGATAGAGATAAGTACTGGGACATAAAGCAAAAATTAGTGGGATTTTTTATTAATTTAATATGGTTTAATAATGGTTGTTACTTGATTTGACTTGAATTTTAGTTTATTTTCTTTGGAACCCATGGAAAAGGCAAATTTCTACAAGGCAACTCTCTAGAATATTGTGTGTCTACAAGGCAAATTTCATTATTTTAATGAAAAGAATTGAAAAAAAAAAAAGAAAAAATGCATGTTAGAGCTAGAGCCTACCCTAATCCTTCCATGTGTCCGCAATTAAGTGAAAAACTTTTAGTCAATTTATATAAAATGTTTACGAGGTTTCGAGTTCGGTTTCACTGATTGTCTCGTTGGTTCAAAAACTTCATTAAAATTCTTAATGTTGCCTACCCATATCATAGGAAGGTTTACCTCAGACCCGCCTCCCTTTCTTTTAATCGATGGTCCCAATTAGCATTAGTGCCAATTAGCAGTCGATCAATAAGACGATGGAGGATAAGCTTCATCGTGGAGAGGGAAACAACCACTTTTAAGTTGTTTAAAAATACTATCCTTTATGTAAATTTATCAACACCAACATTCGTTGTTAACATCACAATCATCTTTTCTCTATGACAGGGAAAGTGATTTGCTGATGTTTCTTTATATTTTCTCTATGATAGGGAAAGTGATTTGTTGATGTTTCTTTATATTTATCTAATCTCTGTCTTAATTTTTATTCACTAATGGCAGAGGGAGAGAAAATAGATAGATCATAACCATGTACTACTTTTTACTATTCTCTTACCTGGCGTAAAAAAAAGTTTAAGAAATTATTTTAAATTGTGTGATTTAAATTTGGAGAAATAATTTTAAATTATTTATTTTGAATCATAATAATTTGAAATTAATTAAATTAAAATTTTTTGTTTGGATATATATATAATTTTTTTTGAGAAAATTGTTTGGATATTCCATGGAAAAGAAAATAATTTTTTTTATATAGATTTAGGCTTTTAATCTAAATTTATTAATTAAAAATTAAAATATGACAATGTTAAGATAAATTTTTAGTTCTTGAGTTTAAAAAACTAACACTTTTAGTTTAGTTTCTAAAAATGTAATTTAATTTCTATTTAGTCCCTAAATTTCAAAAGTGACATATTTAGTTTTAATCTAGTTCTTAATTTGTCAGTGAGATTTTAGTTTTACTTTAAATTGATCAATGAGGTTTGAGTTTGAATTATATTTTTTCCCTTAGTTGAGTTGACCATCAGTTGGCTTAATGAAATAATGATCATATGACAGCTAACATATGTTACCTAAACCTTGTTATTTAGGCAAAAGAGTGAAGAATGTCGTTGAGCTTAACTTAAAAGACTCATTAGAAACTAAATTTGAACTTCATGGACCAATTAAAAGCAAAATTCCAACTTTAAGGACCAAACGTGTCACTTTTGAAACTTCAAAGGACCAAATTGAATCTAAAACTAAATCTCAATGCTCAATGACCAAAAATGTATTTTACCCATTAAAATATCAATATTAACCAGATATTGAGATCTCAATTTTATAGATATCAATATCGATGAATATTTTGCTAATCCAAAAATTTAATAAAAGTTATTTTAATTAATAAATAACACTTTTTTACTCTCTAAATTAAATTATTAATCTTACCATTAGTATTTATATTTATGGTTGATTTGATATCTTTTGTTTTCATGTTTCATTAATATGTATATGAAATGTTGAAAATATTGATTGTGTTTGGATATTTTTTTTATATAACACGTAGGGGTGGAGGATCAAATTCACAACTTCTTGGTTGGAGTTTCTATTTGCCAATTAATGATTGTGTTTGGATTGATACGACCAAAGGCGGATAGAGTTTAATTACACTTTACCAAACTTTTTTTAGGTAGGTCCAAATTAATCAAATTTAATGCACCTTTTACAAAAAATAAAAAATAATAAAAAAAATTTAATTTATATCCAATTAAAGGATTAGAAATACATTTTAAATAACCTAATTACTTCAACCAACCAAATAATAAGCAATATTGATAAATAATAGAAATTTAATTTAAAAAATTAAAAGAGGATTAGAGAAATTTGAAAAATAATTATAGTGGTTTGGGGCCAACTACAACCTACTCTACTACTCAAGTGCCTCTTGAATATTCAACTAAAAACTCACAACTATTTTTACGGTTTAGAGTCCAACCAATACAACAATTCTTTTTTCGAGAGCAAAAAGATCATTTCATCATTTTCATTATTGATACTATGTCCACATTAATGATTTTTATATATATTTTGTCGATTTTTGCGATAATATGAAATTGTCGATTCATTCTTAAAGTCAACGTTGAAGCCTTGAACATACGAAAACATCGATATAGATATTGACATATCGACAAAATTTAATACCCTCACACCAACATCTTTTTTTAAAAGATATACAGAGGCTTAAAACTTTTGTTTAACCATCTTATCATAAATAAATTAGCAAGTCTCACTTTAATTTTGAAACCATAATCCAAAGATTTGATGCAATCAAATCACAAGAAAATGGTGTTAGTGAAGATAATTTATTTATAATGAGATGTGAAATGAAAGGAAGGCACTAAATTAAAATGTGTAATATCTTTATGCTAACTTTTCTTTGCACATAAAGAAAGGAAAAAGGGAAGGATTGAATAATTATTAGGGTTGAGATAATTTTTTGGTCCCAATAAAATGTATTTTACCCATTTGACCAAAAGCCCCACACTTAAAATTTTCCATATGGCTTTCTTACCCCTGTATGGAAACTTCCCTTCCATTTTAGAGTGGAAATTTTGGGGGAAGAGCCATTCAAAGTTTATCCTATACTCCAATTTAGTATTTTAATGGGTTTCTTTTCTCTTTTTCTCCGAGAGTCAAAAAGAAGAATGTGGCGTCCGAGTAGAGAAGAGAGATACATGAATGAACCGATACCACATTCGAAAGATCCTGAGATTATAAAAGTATGGTTAAGAAAGGTTAAAAGAAATTACAGTTTCTACCTATACTAACAATGTGCACTTTCTTTTTCGATAACTCAATTGTAAGAATTCCAAAGTTAAGCGTGCTTGACTTTGAACAATCTTCGACTAGATGACCTCTTAATTGCTCATGCTGAAAGAAGGACTCGTGACTTAGCTCTTCTAAGTAGCTCAGAACTAGAACAGTGGCACGACTGGGTCATAGGGGATGCATGAGAATGCATCTAAATGATCAAAATCTAAGATACATCATTCTACAACCTACAAAATAAATAAAAAATATCTGATAAGCTCCATTAACATTAGTGTGATATTTGCTAAAGTGATTTGACACTCAAATCATACACTAATTTCAAGAGAGTATAATAAATACTTAACCAATCAAATCTTTTATTATTATGCGTGGAATGAATACCTTAAATAAACAAAGAATTTCTTATCATATTAGAAGATGATGTGATGTACAAATTATAATAAGAGCATCACTTTTGAAAATAGAGTCATGTCGCACCCACTATTACTAAGTAGAGGTTCGTCTCTGCGAGTAACTTTATTAAAATATTGGTCCATAATAAAAATTTAGTAACACGTATGCTTAGGTAATAATTTTTTTTAATTAACCACGCTGATGCAACATTTTGAAGTGCGTTGGCAAGTTATAAATGTGTATTTAGTTAGAGTATGGTTTCAAATTGGATAGGATTAAGGTGAATATCTAACCTTAAACAAGCACACCAATCCCATTTGCATGCATCTGAATGCATTTGTTAATGATAAATTTAAGTAATCACATATAATATGTCAAAATTATGTCACTACAAGACACTAAAAAAAATCGGTTAATTAAAAAATAATGTCATATGATTATCTTTTGACCAATTGAGTTGGATAGTTTATTCATGGCTATATAATGACATAAGTTCATTCAATCAACCTGTGATATTGAACTTAAAATCAGATAGGTCTAAGTCCATCTAAAGTACGTGAAAAACTCTATAAATAAGAGATAGGTCATTCACCCATTTCAATTCATCCCAAAAAGAGGATCAAAAGCCCATGAAAAGGATCAAGAATCTACAAGAGAGATCAAGGTCGGTGAGAGTTAGATCTACAACCTAAAGATCGCCAATAAACTACAAGCAGAGACCTTAAGTCGAAGACTTTTAACCAGCTAAAAGTTGAAGACCTTCACAAGACAAAGTCGAAGACTCCAACATCTTTCTAGACTTAAGAATAAACTTATCAAACCTCCAGTCAAATTTGATAGATATTAAAATTAGGGATAAATATTATTAGGTATATTGGTACTGTTGCAAAATCAATAAAAACTATATTTAGTAAAAAAAAAAGGTGTGGGAACACATACTACCATTCTGTTGCTCAATTTTAACAACGCCAATAATTGTAACATGGAAAATAAAACTAAAATTAAAGATATATACCCCAATAACCAAAATGATATATTTAACACTTTTTTTAAGGAAAAAAACCACGACTATTTAGCGTACGATGTGACAATTGTTATATGGTCCCTCCTCTTACGTCAAACGAAGATCACAACCTCGTGGCTCTCCTCTACCACTCTAAATTATTGAAAAGATGAAGGTACGGTGGAAAGTACCAAAAACTGTCCAAGATCCCACATTGAAAAATATAAGAAACCTAACAAAAGTTTATAATATACCTTGACTACTCCTCTTCCAATCAATTAATTTTGAGATAGAACTTCATAAATATTTAAAAAAATATATTATAAATTTATTTGTATATATATTTAATTCATTCTTTTAGAAAAATATATAGAATGCAATTTTCTTTTTCTATTTTTGAAAAGATTAGCGATGTCAACATGAAGATAAGTGTTGACCAATCAACAGTAAAGTGTTGTTTTTTAAAGAGTCAGTTTTTGAGGTACGATGTGACAATAACAATGGTCCCATAATACGTGGACAACGATGAAGACGTCGTGTCATGGCTCTCGTCTTCCACAAGGAATTATTGAACGGGAGACAGGCAGGTGTCGTGGAGGGTACCAAAAGGGGATAGAGGCCAAGTCACCTTTTGGAGAAGAAAGGGACACGAGTGGAGGTAACTGTGGAAGAAGGTATAATTTAATTTCATAACATTACAATGGGACATAGGAAGAGATGTTTTTTTGTGGTTGTTGTTTTGGGAGAAAGACAATGTACTAAAAAGAGGTTCACGTGGGCATGGCTTTTGCTTACTAAACAAATGCCTTCTCTTTCTAATTTTCTTACATCAAAGAAAAAAGGAACAAAGGCAAATGCAAATATCAAAATTGAGAACAGTTTTTGGGACATCAAACTTAAAACCTTCCAAATCTCGCAGTGTTGTTTGACCATCTCTGTCGTTTTACTTCCACTTTTGGACAACCACTTGTTGATAACCTCACGTGCTTCTCACATTTTCCCATTCTTTCTTTTTCACCTTTTTTTCCCCTCCTTTTGCCCCGTCTATACTTTCTATTTTGGTTCATTATTTCATATTTTCGTTCATTTTAGGTTTTATACTTTGACAATTTAGGTTTTTATTTATAAAATTTTATACCCAATGAAAATTTATTGCTACATTTTAAGAGATGTAGCGAGTTACAAATCGTGCTAAAATTGTGATTCAAATAAATGAGATAAAAACGAAATGAAATGATCAAAATAGACGTTTAAAAGTAAAGGGACTAGAATGAACAAAGACAAAGAGTATTAGCACAAAGTCTATTTAAACCCTAAAAAGAGAGAGAGAAACTTAATCAATTGAGGTTATTAATGTTGGTTGGGTACCATTCCTAATTTTTTTGTTTCTTGTATCCTCTTTTTTAGGAAAGAAATATAGAATTCCATTGGGTAATTATTTCTTGTGTTTGGTAATAATTTTTTGCTTTTTGGCCTTTCAAATATTAAATGTACAGAAAAAAAAAGTTTTAAAATGGAATTAATGTTTTGAAAGTAAGATAGTACAATTTTGTATGTTATATCAATTTTTAATATTTATTGTGCATTTATAAGTTAAAAAATGATAAAATGATGATTTTATTTATGTATTTAGAAATATGGAAATGAGAACAAGAAAATTAAAAATTTCTGGACAGCAATTAGAAACATAAAAGTGAAATACGTTACTAAACATTTCCTAAATAGCAAAATTGACTTACTCAACTAAGTATAAAAATTGAACTTGTCCTCTTTTCGTTCTTTCCATCTATTTTTGTGTCATTTATTTGCCTCAAATCAACTAACAATTATTCAATAAATATGTCACATCATAGTTATTAGTATAAACAAAATGAATGAGACTTACATAAAATCACATTTCAAAATATGATAAATACATAATTTAGCCAATTACAAAATATGATAAATCAGAGCCACATGATAATACAGAATCATTCCCCTCTTTGAGGGAATATTTCTAAATTAGATTCCAATGGCCATCAAATACCCCCATCCACAAGCATACAAAATCTTTTGGAGGGGATGGGATTTTTTCTATGTTTATTTTGGGAAAATAAAATTGCTTTGCTGCTGTTCCATAAACCATTCAATGATTTGCAGAAATATTTCTGAAATTTATCTCTAATCAGCTGTAATGTTTAAGATAACTGATTTTTGAGCAGTCAAAACCAAGAAATCCAAGAGTTCTATAATATATATAAATAACTTTAAAATATAAGTAAAGCAGATTTCAAAGTTTTCAAAAGCAATGGTACAACGGGACTTGGATAACCTGTAAATGAAAGGATCTCGGCTCTCAGATAATAATTATGTAGTTCTGTCAATGACATCCTGTTCAAGATTCTCATTTCCAGATTTAAAAAAGTCCAACATTTCTTCTTCAACAGGATGGGTCTTTCCTACAATCACAAGGCAATGCAGAGGCGGCCCGAAATCAATGCTTCTCAGCTGCTTCATGGTGCCCGCTACTATCATCTGATCTTCGCTTCCGAGACGAGCAAATCCCACACACAGTGAGTCTTCGTTGTATACTGCAGCATAAAAGCTAATTACAAAAGCAATCCTCGTATACACAGCAAACGACATTTGGTCTTTTTTCTGCATTCTTTATGCTTTTTCTTTTTCTTTTCGATGTCCATAGTGTCAACTCCAGCAGATAATAAAAGTTTTAAGTTCTTAATTTTTAACTTACGATTTGAACCTAAGACATTGATAGGTATCTCTAAACACTCAGACACGCTTACTACCAATGAACTTCTGGGAGTGCATTCTCTATGTTGAAAAAAAGAGGTTCTCTTGATCAAGCACATAGAATCTTAAACAAACAAATAAATAAATCAGGCCATTGATGTGAATTACCAGATTGTCCTTCCATTTGCTCAACCTCCAAAAGCTGCTCGATTGCTGTGTTTATAGACATAAATCTAGGTGGTTCATACTCTTTTCTTCCCCTGAAAAATTTATGTAAAGCAGACATATACTTTTAAGTTCCTTCTATCATAGCAGAATGACTGAACTAAATAAAACAAGAGACTTCAGGGGGAAAATAAGAATACTAGAACTTGCAAAAATCGTCATAAGTTGTTATCTGAAACACAAATAAGGGGATCCGGATACGAACCTGCATAAAGACTCCAAAGACGGTTCCTTTACTCGTATATCTGACAGAATATAATGTATTAACCAGATGTGTCGATGAAATGGATATATAACAATTAAGACATTAAACAAAATTTATCTATTAGCGACGACTCAACTGATGAAAAAAACCAGTTGGGTTAAAGAATGTGTTTTTATCTCTCAACCTCACCAAAATAACAAAATCCTCAGATTCAAGAGCTGATTTACTATCAGCTTAGACAGTAAAGAACAGAATCCCACCTAATAAGCAGAGTGTGTGCAATCCAAGTCCACGGTTTCTTTGAATCTTCTCATAAAAGCTACTCGGTTTCCACGTTTCAGTAAAAAACGGTATCGAAACAGTCTCACCATAGCGGTACAGTTGCAACCCACAAATTCCAATTGCATTCATCACAGAAGCATTGTACACCACTCTGACTTCAATCCCCAAACTCTTTGCTCGAACGACCAGATCCGAATGGGTCGTAGCTCTGCCTTACGACACGGTATATAGAAGAACATAAATATTGCTCAAAAAGTAAGTCCAATGGCAAACATCTTCAGAGTAGGAAAAAAAAAAAGGCTTCCACGCAGCCCCAATTACAAGGCAATTTTAAAAACTTTCAATTATGCCATTTAACTTCAAGTTAAGATGCATGTTTAGAGTCACAAATCACAGAATTAAACAATCTAGAATGGTGAATCCGCGACAGAGAAATCGAAGCTTCAAAAGCAGAGGATAATGCAATTTTCATACCCGAAAGCGTCGCCAACAACCAAAAAGGCAACATCAGAGGTACGAGCCTTGGAGAGCATCTCATCAGCCTTCTCCTCGACCATTTCCCGATCCGCAACTGTGATGGTCTTTCCGTAGAGCTTCTCGAGCGAAGAAATTCCATCGGAAGCAAGGCCAAAGGACAAGAGAGAAGTGTAAGCTTCCATGTAAATCTTGTTGCATTTCTTCACACATTCTAAGCCTCTGAGAGTGATGTCCTTTTCGTCGCCCAATCCTAAACCTATAATGTACAGCATCGTTCTTTCTACTCTTCTTCTTCTCTTCTCGCTCTGCCTTAAACCCTAATTCTTTCCAAATCTAACCGTTCGCTAAAACCCTAGACTAACGTACGCGCCGGCGCCACTGCTTTCACGGAGCGGAACTCTTCGTATATGCTCACATCATGCTGGATTTTGCAAAAGCGGCGTCGTTTTACCTGATCGTGGGTTTTGACCCATCATGCTCTGGGCTTTGGTCCATCTACTGTAAACCAGTAAAATTTGGGATTTTTTTTTTTTTTAATAATAATGCTGAATTTGAAATTGAAATTTATTTGCAAAATATACCTCTATTCAAACTTATTCTATGAATAATGCTCAGAAAATTTTAGGTCTATCTCATGATACTTCTTAACTTCCAACTTGCGTGGCATACCAAATTTAAACAAAATTGTCACTCTACCGGTACGTTTGACTTTACTTCGTTTTAATCCGTATATTTTTAAAATGTTAGTTTTATTTCTTGTATTTTTAAAAAGTGTCAACTTTTTGTTCCTTAATTTTAATAATTTTGAACTTATTTAAAAGGTGTAAAATATTTTGTTTGTTGACTTATATATTTGTTGCAAATTTATATATATATATATATATATATATATATTAATACATGTTATTAAAAATATAGATACATGAGTGATAATATGAATCATTATTGAGGAAAATATCATTATCATTCACATTTAAGAATAGTTCCTTTAAGTGTGAGGAAAAGATTGCTTATGGTATGTGACAAATGACTCAAATCATATAAGCTTTGAAATTTCACTCAATATATAAATTGCTAATATTAAAATTCACCTTGTATATAAATTTTGGTATCAGATAGAACCATCTGTACATGTAAAAATAATAAAATAAATAATTGTATAGAAGAGTAATATTGAAAAGAAGTAGCAAATTACATACCAAACGTAAAAATTAAACCATTAAACTTGTAAATTTGTAAAGTTGTGTCCTATCAGGATTAAGAATTGTATAGTTCGGCTTCACATATGTAAAATCAATCTACTTATTTCACGTGAGAAGAAAGAACAAATTTACGAAGAAAAACACCCCTAAAAATTATCTCCTCTCTTTTTTTCCCTTTCGCAAAATTTTCACTATTCTTTTCTCCCTCTTCTTCTTTGTTACCAACTTTCTTACAAAAACATGGTAAACCTCTCTTTAGCACATGTCTATCACAATGTAGTACCCAACCAATAGAATTCTTGACGGTGGACATGGTCCGATTTTTACAATCGACGACTAAAAGTTCGTAGGTGTACCGGTGATAATTATATAATTTGAATGGTTGTTGAATAAAAAAAATATAGTATAGAGCAAGAGGTATTATTAGTACAGTTGAATTTCGTATAAATTTGGGGAGGTATTGGATACTTTGCTCATTGCTCATGTCCATATATGATACTTTGCTCAATAATCGGTAATTGAATTGCTCTCAATTTATCATTAGCATTTATTCTAGTCCTTGTTGTTACCTTAGGCAGTTTACAAGCCAATAATCATTTGGAAAGTCCAATTTTTAAAACGAGTAATTTGAACCGTTGCTGAATAATAAAAGAAATAATAGTAATTAATAAATCCTTATAATTTTTATTTATTTATTTTTTGAGTTCATAACCTTTATAATTTAAAGTATAGAGCAATGAGTACTATTACAGATAAATAATAAATTTCGTATAAGTTTGAAGAGGTATTGGATACTTTGCTCATTGCTCAAGTCTATATGATACTTTACTCCATAATTGGTACGAATTGCTCCCTATTTATCATTAGTATTTATTCTTTCCCTATTGTTACCTTATAAGGCACAAGTCAAAAATCATTTGGAAAATCTATATTTTAGAATGGATAATTTGAACAGTTGTTGATTAATAAAAGATAATAGTAATAAACCTAATAATAATATAATACCCCTGGCTCTATACTTTAAATTAAAAAAAATTGTCAACTTAATTCCTCTTACTTTAAAATTTTCATCTTCGTCTATGTACTTAAAGTTATTAATTTGTCTCAATAATCCTTATTCTAATGAGTATTGAAAAAAAAGTTCATTCCTGCATTAATACTAATTTTTTTTCTTTACTAAAGACTATCAAAATCATCGGTTTCGGTTTGGTGTTGTGCACATGAGCGGTGGTACAATTTTATTATTTTTCATTTTTTATATTCAGTTCAATTGCAGTTTGACTCTCAAACCGAACCAACTCAAGTTGTGAATATCCCTAATATTTAAACAATAAAATAGTCATTTTAAAAGATTTTTACAAATATTAGTCCTCAATAATTATTGAATTATATTTTATAGGTTATTGAATAAATTTTAAAATATTATGGAATTGTATTCAAGAAATTAATTATTGAATAAAAAAGTTAAATACGGTATAACATATTTTTATTTTCTAAAAATAAAATACATAAACGGTTAGTTAATAAATATTTGCTCTTTTTTTTATGAGAAAGGTATTTTCTCTGTTAAAAATTATCCAAATAGTTAATATAATTAATAAAATTTATTAAGTGATTTGTGATATTTTTATAACTATGTAAAATAGTTGTAGTTTCCAAAGCAAGTCATAAAATTTGCCAATTTTAACAAGTGCATAAATGAAAAACAAAAAAGTTCATATGGTGTAAAATTCAATCATTTTTAGTTGAAGAAGTTCCACAAATCTGGCCATAGTAGTAAACATTTTTTGTTGTACCAAAACAGAGCAGTCGAAAATAGAATTTTTGCAGATTTTCATTGATCCATTAATAGGGCGGTAATAATTCCTCTAGTATTGAACTTTAATTATCACATCGATGTGATCCATATTTTAAATTATTTCGTAGATTGAATTTTACTTTTTTCTACAACTTCATGGRCTTTATTTTATTTGGTTGCTCAAGTTTATTCAAAAAGCGTCGTTTTTAAGATCTACATAAATTATTCACTCAACGAAATCTACTCATTCATTACAGTTTCTAAGTCATCTAACGACTCAAAGTTATCTCACCCAAATTTTATCCCATAAAGTGTCGTGTTGACATTCAAATTATCAATTGGAGTATAATTCAACTAGTTAAATACTGCGATCTCTCCCTAAAATAAGGGGTTCAAATCACAATATCCCTTCTATATCTGAACTCAAAAAAAGAAATTATCAACTAATATTAATCTAGAAAGTATGCGTCTAAAAAAATGCTTGAGAGTGATCCAAAAGTAAGTGCATTTAACCAAAATGCTTGAGAGTGATCCAAAAGTAAGTGCATTTAACCAAAGTACTTGAATTATAAGCACTTTGACAAAATTTGATTTATTTTTAAAGTGTTTTTAGTCTCGGTAAAAAATATTTTATAAGTGTTGTCTCATAAATCAATTTCAATGCTTTCTAACTTTTTTTAAGAAGTATTTTTATATTACTTTCAAATATGATGATTTTGACGAAGATGATTCTCTCGCATGTCAAAAACACTCCCTTCTAATTATAAAGTAACAGATCAAATGCTGGCCTAATATTCAAGATTGGAGCTAGAAATTTTCCACCGAGATATTAAGAAAAGGAAAACAGAAATCGGTTTTAACAAATAAGGGGAAGCAAATTAGGGAGAAAACACTTTTTTTTTTTTTTTGAAAAGTAAGAAAAGTACTTAACATGTGCATATGATTGTTTTTTACGAATATTTTTAATAAAACTGATTTATTTTAATGACTTTAACTTTTTTTTTATATATTCGTGGGTATCCATGCTAGCTTATGCCCGACATGTCGGGAAATATATAGGAATTACTTATTCTTAAGGTAGGTGGCCATCGTAAAACTCATTCACTCTCAATTAACTCTAGTCCTTTTAGACCAATTAATCCCCCATGATGATTGTATTTTAAAATAAATAATTGTAATTGACTTTGAAAGAGTATCTTATGTAACTAAATGGTTAGTTTATCCATATGTTTGTGGACTGCAATTATGGTGATTAAGTTAGTTATTGTATTATTATTATTATTATTATTATTATTATTATTATTATTATTATTATTATTATTTAGAAAGTATTAAGTTATATCGATTTACTACAAGTATGATATTACTAGTTGAAGTGCTTTGAAAAAAAAAATCACGGCTTAACTTAGTTATAATTGACATTTGTCTCTAATTGAGGGGTTCGAATTCTCCCACCCTCACTTGTTATTCTAACAAAAAAATCTCAAATTTGGTCTTTAAACTTTTATGATACGTCTATTTAATCTCTTGACTTGAAAAGGTTTCAATCATATCTATAAACTTTCTATTTTGTTTTCAATAAGTACTTGTAATTAATTTTCTCSGATTAATGTTGACATGATATCTGGTGTGATATGGCAACAAGTAGTAAACTAGCGAGTAAGTCTAGATTAACTGTGAGTTTAGTATGTCTTTTGAAAAAGTTACTGTTAAGTTAATCACTTATTATATAAACACATTGGGAAGAAAATTAATTAAATGGTTACTCTAAAAGCATTTTATGTGCTCTTTGTTGGTAATTTTTTGAATTTTTATAACCGAGTTTTGATTATCGAAAAAAANAAAAAAAAAAAAATTACTTTTTGTTATCCATAAGCACTCTAAAAGACACGTCAGACATTAGGCGAGCTCTAAAAATTATAGATATATCCTTCAAACCCGACCACCTACCCCCACTAGTTTGCCCACCCATGTTTAATTCACCTAGCACAATGTTGCGCCAGTTAATGATGTAATTAAAGTTTTTGGACAATTACATTTTTAGTCCCTAAGGTCTGGATAATTTTTATTTCGTCTATGAAGTTTCATAACTAATATTTTTTGTTCTTGATATTTGGATTTAGTTTATATTTGGTTACCGAGATTTTTAAAATGACAGATTGATTTTGGTCATTTAGATTTGGATTTGAGTTCTGTTTAGTTCTTGAGTCAAATTGACTTACCAGAAAGATGATGACGATGTAGTTTACATGATTACATAGATTATGACCCACATGTCATTGCTATAGGCCMTATCGTCGTTCCCAATCCAAATTTAGGGTGCCCTTGGTCTTGTTACTAACAAGGAAACTTTTAACAAGCTAATTATCGCATCATATATTATTTCTCTTTTAAGTCCATTAATGGTTAACACAATTTATAAACTAAATATAAGCTTTATGGATAAAAAAAATATCGTTTTTGAAATCTTGGGACCAAACATAATTCAAATTTWAAATCTCAGGATAAAAAAATGTCACATAAAACATGAGAGGCTAAAAAGAATTTAAATAAACATAAAGAACTATAGTCCAACCTTAGAGGAATAAAAATGTAATTTCCCTTTCTAAAAAAATTGTAATTTGCCAGAAAAAAACATTTTAAGTTCGAAAATCAAATAAACACAACCGTGAATTTTTTTTTTATTTTTTGTTTTTTATTTTGAATTTCATTCATAAATCATTTTGTTAAATATWTTATTTAACATTTTAATTATTCTGTAACGAACATTATCCATAAGATTACGGGAAAGAGCTGAAAAAGGCACGATCTGTCTCTCTCTGTTCGCAGGCCAGACGGTTACGCACTTTAATTTTGCATAATTTCCAATTTTATCCCTCTCTTTCTCCTACTATATATATGTACAGAAGAAACCCAAACGCGCTCCCAAAACGCACTCCGCAATTCTCTTCTTCTCCGCGGGAAAAGTTAAAATCAAACAGAGAGTGGAGAGCGGAGAAATCGAGGTCCTCCGCGGCTTCTAATTGACGCCGCCGCCTCCACCGCCGTMGATCGTCTCGRAATCTTTTCCGATATTGTAGTTTCAGTTTTCTTCCGGACTGACTTCAGGTAAGTTCTGATAAAATCAATCGCATTTTCCGCTGGTTTTCATTACTTTTTTCCGGTTTCCATACTATTCTCCAACACGAGACATGTATTTTCCGGCTGCTGGTCTTGATTTTCTTTCTGTTCTTACTCGATCGTTACCTGTGTTGAAATCCTGTGCTTATTGATTAATTCCACTGCGTTTAATTTACAGTTCTCTGATGGTTTGCTTGGACTCGTTATTTTTGTTTATTCGTATCCTAATCTGATGACGCTTGAGTTTTTGTTTTCTGGTTTGATTTTCGGCTTAAGAATTCTTTAATCGGAGTATTTCCTCTTTCTCAGTTATGTAATCTTGTCGTTAAATCGTTATGATCTGCCGATTTAAAGACATYTCGCTTTACTATTTTTTTATTCCGTCTGGCATCTYTCACGGAAAGTTGAGGATAGGTTCCGGATTACCAACGGATTACGCACCAAAATTGAACCTATGTTCTGTTCTTTACAGAGTTGAATGGCCTGCCTATTCACTTTCTTGTATCAAAATTATCTCCTTCAATTAATAGTAGTTGAATCATATATACTTTAGGTATTGTGATCAATGAATTCAGTCGACTTAACTCTTTATTTTTCTTCTAAATCTAGGTCTCTACAAAATGATAGGACCACTAATCATCAGAGGACTCACGTATGTTTACAGTTCTACTCTCGATTTATATGTTGATAATTCTAGGTCTACAAATTGGTAATTGCTTAAGTTTTCTAAGATCGAGTGTCATTTGTGGCGATAGGATGATTCTTGGCTATGCCTATCCTGCTTATGAGTGCTACAAAACTGTTAAAAACAGCCAGCCAGAGATTGAGCAACTTCATTATTGGTGCAAGTATTGGTATATATTGCACTCTAAAAACTGCATCAATGTTTTTCATTAATATATATTTCTTGATGTTGAAGGTTTCACCCTTGGTTGATTTGATGCAGGATTTTGGTGGCTATGTTGACGGTGTTGGAGAGAATTAGTGATTCCTTTGTTTCATGGTAGGGATTGGGGATTCTATTTTCAAATTTAAATATAATATAAGGCGATGTTCGGAAATAGTATTGAAAATTTTTTATTTGATTTATTAAAACGAAAATGAATACACAAGAAGATAAGAGGTTGTTTCAACCTTCAAAACTGCTTTTTTTTTTAATTAAATTTATTTTTTAGGAACAAAATTCATGTTTGGGTAGCTTTCTCTTGAAAATTGCTTTTTTCTTCCATCTTTTTCTTTAATTTGTTTTTACGGATGATATGTTTTCTAAAAGAGTAGGAATTGTGTCCTTTTTTTTTCTTTTTAACGGAATATCATGATCCAAGAATTAATTTCTATATTTTCAAATTTGTAACAATTTGGTTCCTGAACTTTAGTATATAACAATTTGCAAGCTTTAGTGGTGTTTATTATATATGTAGATCAATAAAATGGTGGGTAACCAAATATATTTATAAACTACAAAGCTTAAATTGTTACACAATTATGTAAAAAAAGTAGACTTTTAATTTTGATGAGATTTTTTCACGTAGGTTGTAAATTGTTACAAATTTTAAATTATRAAGATTGTTATATACTAAAGTTAGTAGATTAAATTGTTACTAATTTAAAAATACAAAGACTATATCGTTACGAACTAAAGTTTTGTATCGTTAGACCTATTTATAATCTATAAATTACTTCTTAAACACAGTTTTTATAGTACTAAGCACAGTTTTTCACAATAATTTCTAGAATTTTTTTTAGTAGGACAATAATTTCTAGAATTTATTCCACATAAAAAGACCCAAATAATATCCCCGAATCTTCATTTTGGGTTGCCATTTTTTTTTTTTTTTGCTGTTGTATTAATTGTATTTTTCTTTGCCTTGAAGGTTTCCGTTCTATAGTGAAGCAAAGTTGGCACTCTTCATTTATCTATGGCATCCGAAAACTAAGGTATGATTATGAGGAAGGAATCTTATTTCATAGAATATGATATATAATCTTTTTGCGTTCAGGATGGATATAAATTTAGCAAATCGGTCTTCAACTCTCTAGAGTTTGTCATTTTCGTACCTAGTTTAAATGTTTATTTTAATTATTGAACATTTTTTTAAAAAAATTATAACAATAATCAAAATATTAATCTCAACCAACTTATATGACTTTAATGCACGCCTATATTGTGCTATACATGTAGCTACTTTTTWAAATCATAGTAAAGATAAAAAAGAATAAAATTAATTTATTTTTTAAATTTAGTAACTAAAATAAACTCCTTGAAATTTCAAAGATTAAAAAGATTATTTTTTTCAAAGCTGAAGAATAGAAATAGATATTTAAAAAATTTATSGACAGAAATAGAAAAATTATGAAAGCTGTAAACAAAAATGAAATTTAAATTTTCTTACATTTATTATTCTTGAATGGTTAGTATTTTTGCGGCCCCCCCTTGTACTATTATCATATTCGTGTTAGAGAAGGCTATCTATTTGATTATTTTTCCGCACTATATATTTTAGAGGAAGAGTCTGAAAATATTATTTTTCAAAAGTCTAAGAACATATACTTTGAAAGTGTATGAGCTAAATTTAAATTAAAAAAAATTGAAATGTAAACCATAAATTTCCTTACATGTGTCAGGGAACGAACTACGTGTATGATTCATTTTTCAGACCATATGTATCGAAGCACGAGCCTGAAATCGACCGCAGTTTGTCGGAATTCAAGATGAAGGCTAATGATGCTGCACTTGACTACTTTCAAAGAGCTACATCCTACTTTCAAACAAGAATGTTTGATATATTTTTGCAGTTTGCTCCAAAGGTAATCATAAATGCAAGTTCATGATTTTTAATTTATGGCACTTTCTGATTTTAGATTGTTTTTCAGAGTCTTATCATCCTTTTAAAAAAATTATATCATCTTTTTAAAAAAATTATAGTATTTTCTTACCTATTAAAAAAATAATTTTATAGATATTAATAGCTTTTTTTTATTTAATTTTTTTGTACTTATAAGATTATTTCATTTTGATCTTTAAAATGATAGATCTTTAATTCTAAAATGTATCATTTTAGAAGTTTAGGAACTAAATGGAACAAGTTTAAAAGTTTAAGAACCAAAATAAACATTTTAAAATTTTAAAAACTAAAATAAAGTAATCTTAAAACCTTAAGCTCTATCTAATAACCATTTTTTTCTTATATAAATATTACTTCCTCCTATGCATTTTGGTGATTTGTGATCAACGTTAAAAAAAAAATTTTAAAATAATTAAAAAAGGTACTTTTTATTTGTTTTTGTTTACAAAGTTTTGCTAAGAATTCAAATGCGAAAAAATGTGAAAACATATAAAAAAAAAAGGTAAGGAACAAGCTTAATTTTTTAATACATAAACTAAAAACAAAATAGTTATCAAACAAGAACTTATTCTATATAATTTAGGATCGTTATTGATTCCTATTTTAATTTTAGATTTTTCTATTACGGAGAAGGATAAATAATAATAARTATTCTAGAGATGAAAATCTAGAGAATACAAATTTTTTATAGAGAARATTATATTTTAGAGCGAGAAAAAATTTGTTAAAAAGAAATATGTTTRAGAAAAATAAATTGAAAATCAAAAGAAAAAAATGATATTTTAAAAAACCAATATATATTTTTCAAAACTTTTTTTGTTTTATTTTCTTTTGAAAAACATTATTGAGTTTTTTTTTTTTATCAAATTTTCAGAATCTTAACTATATATATTTTTTTATTAAGTAGATTGCAGAACAAATAAATTGAATGTTAATAATTTAATTTCTTAAAAAGACAAAGCTAAACACCAATACATTTTATTTCTTAGAAGGGCTTGGGGTGGGACCTACGAGCACAAAAAAAAAAGAAACAAATTTTCAAAACGGTTGTTAATTTTCATTATTTTCTTTTTTGAAAACGAATTTGTTAGAMTACTATGATTTAAATCAAAAGAAAATTAATATCTGTTCTCAACCAGTTGAATTATGGCGCGGTGGAAAAACAAAATTATTGTGAATCTCAACGGTCCCAATAATGCATTTCAATTTCCAAAACTCAAACCTTGGTTTTCCGTAGCCAGCTGTCTCCTAAAGTACACTAACAACGTGATTCTGCTGAGATTACAGCCGCAGAAGCAACCATCATCAACTCCATCGGGAAATGAACCACAAAAAGAAGAAGAAGACGCCAAAGCCAAATGAGATGGCGTAAAATGGCACGAGAAAGACCATTCAGATTTATTATAAAAATACAACAAAATCCTCTTTCAAATAATAAAAGTTCGTGGAAGAAACAAGGAATTCGACAAGAAAGAAAATTCCTACTGTAAAGTGTAAACTATTATTAACCCACCCAAAGGAAACTGTAATAATGATTATTTCATTTTCAAGATATGAAAAAGTTCTAGATCCTTTTTATTTCTCTCTATGCACTCCAGCAGAGCTGTCTCCTCCGTTGGGTGTTAAATATGATGATCATCAAATTCAATTCATAAATTCAAATAAATGGAATAAATTTGAATTGAGGCAAATCAACTTGAATCTTAGTTAAAAGTTACTTCAACCCAACCCAATTCATTAACACCCTAACCTAAATTCTAATTAAACTTTTTATTTCTTTATAGTATTATATTACAAATAATGTTTAGCCACTTGAATGGTAAACACCTCTTCATTTTAATCCAACCTGAATTTTGTTACTCCTTCAAGGGCAAAATTTCAATTGCGTTAAGGAGGGATATTTGACAAGTTATATCTTATTGGTATTAGGAGGGTGACTAAATTCTACCTTAGAAATAAAGATGTCAAAGAGAAAAACAATAAATTTATCAGTACGGTAATAAAATTGTGCATTTCACTTGACACATGCAATATCATATCGTTATAAAAATCCCTAAACAAATTAGACACAGTAAGAAAATCTAAGAAAATTAATATGAGCTTTTTAAGTGTGACAAGGTCTTCACGTACCTCTTTAAGACGAAAATTATGCGGAGAATAGACATAAATACTTCCTATCTCTGGGCTGAGAGCTGATAAACACTTCATTATTACTCTCTTTATTCTCTGAGGAATTCCTTCGTAAGTAAATTTCTGTAAGAAATGAAAAGTGTCGAAAAATGGCCTCTGTGATGGAAAAAAATGTGATGCTCCATAAAAAACCAGAGGTCAGTGACTGTTGGTCTCCCGGGACAAGTTAAAAGTTGTGTTCTTCACCCCATAAATGCGTAATACTCACTTGAGAATTAGAGTGGAACCAATAATCATCGTCTATCTGCAAAAACAGGACGACGAAGCTTAAATGGTCAGTTTCATGTCGAACTATGAGATATTAGAATAAAACATTGAATTCATGGCGGCTTTTAGCTTYAAAAATTGAACCTACATTATGATGTAAAGGTAAAATTCTCTGCATCCCATGAAACTCCCGGAAAGGAGAACAGGCATTGTTGGTAGTAGATAAATTAGGATTCTTTTGCTGTTGTGAAGACAGTTTCGCTTGCTTGGAAATACTTCCTTCTTGCCCTTGTTTTTGGTTCCTACAGGCACAAAAAAATACATTGTGTTTAAGATTGGTATTCAAAAAGAGAAGCGGAATCTTGAGACGAATTTTGTGTACTTGTAAACAAAATGAATTCAGAGCAAGAAGAGGAGGCTGGCATGGAAAGAAGAGCCAAGTCTGTAGAAATATAAGATGTTATGTTAAAGAGTGATATAGTATACCTCAAGAGGTATAGACTGATTGGCCCAGTGGTGCTTTTGATGATCATTCTACATTGTCTCTCAGAAAAACAAGCCTCCTGATTTATACAGGAAACCATCAATTAGATGCTAATGCTCATGGAATAGAGAAATTGTCAACCTATAAATTTATGGTGATAATAACCTCATCGGGATCAGGCACTTCAATACAACTAGCTTGGGGGGCTTTAACTGCTATAAGTGTCTGATTCTGATCCACCAGTTACAGGACAACAGTGAGTTAAGCAGAAGATCGGTTAATTGCAAAATCTAATGAAATTACCATAGCTCAGGAAAAATAACCTTGAAGCAAGGAATTTGCAAGATATCTTCTTCTGTAACAAAAAGGTTCCTGATAATCCGAGGGGGAAAATGTCTAAGAAAAGAGCGAAATGTATCTTTTAAATTTGTAAAAAGTTTGAGGGCACAAAAATATTACTTTCTGTGATTTGCATTTTCCTCGAGATTTCTCAGAAGTTCTTGCTTCATCCTGCATGAAAACCATTGGTGAGGCCTCTTTTTTCTTTCTTTGGTAAGGCAAGGAAGAACTAAGTAGGGCCTGATTTTACCAAATATAACCAACCTTATTATATCATCAAGTCTACGTTCATCTTCATACAAACTTTCAACTTCAGCCTGCAATAAGAACCCCATGTAATGAAAACTTTAGAAGATGCAAACTGTGAGTACGAATCTTAGAGTTAGAAAGGCCAAAGCCAATTTCTATTAGTCTGTACCATTTCTAATATTCTGCCGACTGATATTTTTCAGTATATCCATTGAGATTATAAATCTTCTGCAATATGCTTTGATGGTGAATTTAGAGCCCCCAAACAGTCAACATGACAWAATGTCAATGTCAATTTATAAATAATCTGTCAATAGTAAACGTCTATGCTGAAATGTCAAGAAATATCCCTCTAAAATTTAGTTAGAGAGTATGTTATGAATATATTTTGTAGAGGGACAGTGAGCTTGAGAGATCGTATCATTTTTTCTAGGAAAGGTTTGAGCATGGAGAGTAGCCAGCCCTCTTGAATAAGCTGAGCAAGTGTTCATAAGCTGGCTTGGCACCCTTTTGAGCTTTCTACTAGTAGATAAAGATCGGGTACTTAACATGATCTTCTAATGTTAGATAAGCTTCTAAATTATTAATTGTTTGTATTACACTACTTAGTTCATTAACTATTAATATTCATTAGTACAAAGTGACTATTAGTTAACCTGTCAACCAAAAATTTCAGCCTTCAAGTTCAAGACAACAGAATAAACTTTCAGCAATAATTACACTAGAGAAACTGAAAGGATGGCCAAATTACCTCCATTGATGTTCAGTTCACAGATAGACATGATGATAATTGAAGGCCAAATCATTTCCAGTTAAATGTACTTAGGGTTGGATGTGACAAACATATAATTAAAACAATATACTCAGTTGACTTGTGTTCTTGAGACATGATAAAGAAGTTTAACTAGCCACAAGATGCTGATTGCTTAACCAGTTGAGATGTGGATTCGTAAAATAATAAATGAATATACAAAACAATAGAAACAGAGAGAATGAATTTGAAAGTTAAATGCCAAAAGACTAAAATGCAATGCACCTTTAATCTACTAACTTGATCGTTGAGCTCTTGAGGCCCACGCCTCTCGCATCCCCTGTTCACAAGATTCAAAGTCATTACACGGCGCATTTTACAGTTTCCAATGGAGTAATAAAGATAATGGCGGTATAATTACTTCCAACGTATGTGGTTCATCGTGGTTTTCTCTATAAGTCCTATYCCTTCAAGAACATTTGTAATGTCATAAATCCTCCTCTTTTGGACCTGTGGTCAAACATTAGTCTTAAACATCTAAAAAGAAAGAAATAAGTAAATTAGTAAAGTTGAATATCGGAATCATTGTAGAAGAAAAACACACTCTTAAGCTAGTTGGAAGGTCTTCTCTAAGACCTTCCCTACACGCATAAAATTTAATTCTATACCTTTAATACGTCTGCAGTTTTATTTAAATCGAGTGTTCCATCTTCAGCCTCCTGAACCAACCTGATAAATTTTTTTGTCAAGAAGCCTGCCGATTAAAATATACAAAATTTTCAAATCTCAACGGCCAGATCCTGCGCATCCCAGATGATCTTATTAGACATTTATTCACCTCAACTTTACCTAACGAGCTGTCGTACCGACCATTAGTAGGTAGATTAAGACCATCAAGAGGCTCTACAACAAAAACAAAATCCAAGGGCAAAAGAAACTAAATATGCATATTAAATTGGATAAGACCAAATATAAAATTCGTATGAGATAAACTATGATTAGTTGGCTAGAAGGATATTGTAAGTACCATCTATTGATCTCTCAGTCCTAGACTGTGAATTTTTCTGGAACTTCGGTTTTTTGTTCTGCTTTCCATTTGCACAGGATACTGGTTCACATGAAGAATCATCAGATCGCATCCTCTGTTCAGAAGCTAAAGCTCGTCTACTAGCCAGAGCCTCAGCGGCATTAATGTCATATGTTTGTTTCAACTGTAAAAAAAAATTGTTATTATCCAATAAATTTTTCAAGAAAAGAGAAAAGAAAGATAGATTAAAATAGATCGACATATGGATCATCAGTTCTGATACTAAAGAAATTGAAGATATTCATAAAAATATTGAAAAATAGGCACGCTAATGTCTCGCGACATTTATGCATAGGATCTTACAGAAAGGCGCTCCATGCGCTAAAACCGGAAACGGATTACAATTACTAAGGAAAAAAAAATTCTATTACTAAGAGTTCAAGAGAGACAAAAATTAAAGGTGTGCCAAATCCTTGTTGCGTTAATAAATTAAACATTAATTAGCAGCTAATCAAATCAATGTAGAAAATCACGATCCAGATTTATAAATCTACCAAACTTTACTAAAAAAAAGTTTTGCAGCCTCAAGAATTTAATTTAACACCGATCTTCGAAATTAACGAATACCTAAACAAGATTGATCGCGCATCGGGAATTAGAAACCAAACAAATAGCAAAAGGAAGAAGATGCTGAAGAGAGTAAGAAACTCACGTCAAGCGTAGCAGCAGCAGTAGAATGCGCGTCGGGAGCGAGACGGCCAGCACAAGTATCGGATTGATTCAGCCGAGGCGGAGGAGGCCGATGATACTGACGGAAACACAGAGGAAGAGCTGGAGCTGAAGACGAAGAAGAAGAAGACATGTCGCGATGGTGCTGAGAGTGAGGGTGAAGGAGATGAAATCGGAAATCGGAGTGCCGGAGGCGGTGGCTGAGATCTTCGACGGCGTTCGACATCGGAAACAATGGAGGAAAAAGGGAGGGAGTTAATGGAGGTTTTTGAAGATTGGAGGGAAAGAGAGAGAGAGAAATAAGAGAAAAGAGTACGGAGAAGCGGCAAGCGAATAAAATGAGGAGAGAGAAAGCGATCGAATATGGAACGGAAATAAAAGGAGATCTGGAATTGAGATGGTGAAAATTACAGGAACGGACTCCCAATTCTCTTTGGGCGGGAACGGATATATCAATTATCAATTCCAATTTCCAGTCCCTACTTTCTTTTTTAATCCAATTATAGAAATTATTTGTTACATTATTCTTCCCATTCACTCTCAAGTTAGATAGTATCTAATAATTTATACAACTGCTCCATATTAATTCTACCAAAAAAAATTTGTATCTAATATGTATTTTAACTTTAAAATTGTCTAAAATTTTTAATTTTGTGTCTAATAGACTACCTATTCTACTTTTTTTTTAATTAATAAATMTATTAAAAACAAAAATGAATTTCGTGTGGAATGGGATAAATTTTCAATTTTCTGTTTAATAGGAAAAAAAATGTCAATGGCTTACTAGAAAAAAAAAGTTTCATGTATTATATATAAAATTGAAAGCTTTAAAATTCACACTTTTTTTTCTAGAACTCTGTTAGACACGTAATTAAACGTTCMAAGACCTATTAAACTTTTTTTTTTCAAAGTTTAAAGATTGGACACAAACTTGAAATTTTGTGAACTAAACTTATAACTTAACCTACTAATTTCGTCACAATTCTTTGAATTCCRGGTCTATTTAATATTGTTAAAGATCTTACAAATGTTTCAATTACGTGTACACGATTTTGAAGTAACATTATTAATAGTTAGTTAGATGTTCGATGATAACTGTATTACAAAAATCGTAAATTTCTTAGTTAATTTTTGAATCACTTTCATGTTTTCTCTAGTTAGTCCTTACCCATTAAAAAGCATCGATTACATAATATCTGTTGTTATACTTATTGCTTTTAATTAATTGATGCTAGAAATTTAGTAAATAAACATAATAAAAATTAGACAGACCAAAGAGGCTGATATTATTTGTAAAATATATCGAAAAAATTAGTTATACGCTATGTAGACCCACCTTCTAATCAAATCATTTCAAATCTGATTAAAATCCTTTTAATTTTTTTAGCTCCATTTTCACAAGTCGTCACCACATCATATTTCTATATTCATTTTAACAGAGAAAGTGAACGTTCTGAAACAATTTTAAATATTAAGGGTTAAAATAAAAATTTTAAATGATGGTCAAAGTTTAAAACATAATTACTATTATTTTACAACTCACCGTCATTAAAACAAGTCTATGGGTATTTTGTAAAATTTAACCCAAAAAGAAATGTATTTAAGCTGTAATATAAGTGACAAAATAAAATGGAAAGATATAGAAATAAATATCAAAGCTAAAAATTACAAGGCCATGGCAAAAAATTGCATTAAAAGTTGCACTATAGAATCTGCATATTCAAATTACTATTGATGGCCACCACATATCTTCGTCCCACTAAGAATGTATCCACCAAAGGCATTCATCTGCATGAAGGGATGGGTTCTCGATGGAAGAACCTGTGCATTATAACGATTAGTTATTAATATATACAATTTTTTTTTTTTGGTAAAATCTCTTTATAGATTTATATTATACGAACCTTAGAAATTTCAGAATGTAAAATTATCTTGACTTTATTTTTTCTATTATTATAGATATTCTCTAAAACTAGACTAAATATGTACAAATCCCTCAGCATAGAAACAGTAATCTGGCAGAGAGCTATATAATAATTAATTGCTCGAAACTAACTAATTCTTATTTCTTGTTCTTCCAATTTTTTGTTTCTTGTTTTTTAAAATTTTAAATTTAAAAAGAAAAGGTTTTATATGCAAATTAAATATTAAAATATTTTATGTTATATTTATTATGCATTTTACAGGTAAAAAATGATAGGATAATACTTGATCTATGTTTTAGGAGGAAAAACACCCAATAGAAAAAGAAACGAAAAACTTGATTTCGTTGTTTGCAAAAAAATTCAACATGGCTTAGGAAACATTTCTTTAAAATGAGAATCGAGAAACAAGATCAATTACCAAATGCTTATATTTTTAAAAAACAGAGCACTTAATTGCTAAAGTGTGCTAAAAGGAAAAGACGCAGAAATGTATTAAACCTGGTATTCACGGAGCCAGGGTTCTGATATTTGCAAGCTGATTGCCATCCTCTCAAGCTGTAGTTTATGCATGCAAGTTGCGAGAGGCTGCATTTAACAAATCGTCAACTTAACCAAACTCAAGCATACCAAGTGAATATATGTATATATATATATATACAACATTTCATTTTGGATTTTTTTTTTTTTATATCCGTNCTCGCCTAAACTCTACTACATTTTGTTGCCTAGGTAACGGGTAGGATATTAAATCCTAGATAGGTGGCCACCATAGTTTGAACTAATTCTCTCTAAGCCCTTTGCTATTTACCTGGGCCCTTATTGACCACTAGGCCACCTCATGATGGCTCCCACCCACTCCTACTATCATCCTCGTGGTCTATCCTTCACTAATTTTCGAAGAGATTTTGCCTACTCTAAAAGCACTTTGGAAAGTCTGAAGGATTTTAAATGATTCAAGTTTTCGACCAGAGCCTAGAACCGAGACTTTGGAGGTTGTCTTCAAACCCTCAGGCACTTCTTGGAGAACTAATTATAATAGTATCAACAATTTAAATGACATTTATAATTACGAAGGTAAATTTTAACAAAGAACCAACCTGAAGATACTGGTGATAGATAGCAAATGGGGCAGAGTTGGATACAAGAGGCAACAGATCTTTAACAAGGCTCCATGCATCCAACTGTGGTGCAGCAATTATTAGGCTGCAATTATTCAAAATAATGAAGTGAAGTGAATTGCCATTAATGGTGAAACATATTATATTACCACCAAACCATACTTATTACTCACCTAGTAAAACCATTTTCCTTCCATGAGTTAACAACTTCTGATGGTGCCTTATCTCCAGCCTTTGCGCATTTAAATGCTTTTGTTAATGGAGAAACTATAGACTCTGAGTTGAGTTCTGAGGGCTGGTCTGTAGATGGTACAGCGCTTTCATCCATACTAACAGGTTCAGATGCCTGTTCCTCTGCATTAATCTTTACCCAAAAAAATAATAATAAATAAAAGTAACACCCAACTCAAATAGTTCTAGATGACAATTAAGAGTAACAATTTTGGAAGGACTCATTAAAGTGTTATAAAGTTCTTTTTCTTTTAAGTTTTTTTCTAGAAAATTTTAAGTCACTTTTATATAATCAAATACTACTTGGTTAGAACTACTTTTCGCCATTCTAAAAGTCAGCCAAGCTCATTAAAACGTTCAAGAGAAGAAGAACTCTACTTACACTGGCTTCATGTTCACCATTAGACTTGGAAGAGTCAACTTGGGATGAGGCAAGGTCAATAAGAGGTGAACGCATTATCCTGGTGGATAAAAAGTTACCAAATATTGTAGAAAGTCATCTTTTCAAAAAATATGTACTGCAAAGAAGAGGATTGAAGCAGCAAACCTGGCACAAATTTCATCATCAAAGTTGAATATTCTTACTATATCCATATGATTTGGATTATTTCCAAGGTATGTATTGCAGACAGAACCCTTGCCTGTAAACAAACCAACACAATTTAGCATCATAAAATGTAGAGCAGAACACACAATTGAAATTATCATATTGCAACTTGACACCTAACTATATTTTTCCCCCCTGTTGTCTGGGGTCTCAGTACTAGTATTTGAATTATGCTTATGGTCCACTCTCACTGATATCTGAAGAGGCTTCATCCACCCGAAAGACTAACTCCATGAAACAACATGAGTTTTAAGTCATTAAGTTTTCAATGAGGGGCTTATAAACTCACGACCTTGAAGTTATCTGCCCAAACATTTCAAGCCCTTCCCACACCACCATAGCATCTTGGATAAACACCTAACAATATTTGATGACTGCAAGCCAAGACTATAATTTACACCCAAACTTCTTTTTTTACATAAGAAACTTACACCCAACCTTAATGCTATGGCTTACATTAATCAAGGATTTGTGGCCATTTTTTGAAAAAAAAAATGAACCACAAGTTTATTAATGCTAAGAATGATAGAGGATAAGACAGACCTCCTAAACGCTCAGCTACGGCTCCAGTGAGAAGACCACCAACCATATCAAGCACAAGAACATCAGAATTTGAAGTCACGTTGGCGAAAGAAAGAAGAAGAGATAAAGCATCAACTCGCAAGAATCTGAATCATAAGCAAGGAAACAAAGTACATTAAAATATTGTTTCCAACACCAAACCATCAGAGAGCTTCTGATGAGTGACAGTTCACGAGGAGACAGACCAGGAAGTGAATGGCATGGGCAAAAAAAATGACATTACCGATATAACATAATAATTGAATTTGCACTTTTCGTTACGATATTACTGGAAATAAAATAAAACTATTCCTTAAACAATGAGCAGCGAGGAGGAAGAGAACAAAAAAGCATTATCACAGTGATACTTCCCAAAGGCCTGAGGCAAATCAAAGTCCTCATATGACACGATCACTTAGTCATCTAATGAATAGAAAACATGCAGGTTGTCATTATAAATAAAACAAATTATTTTAAAGAAAAATGACCTGAGTTTTTCTTTATGAAACAACAACCTTTCATTGAGGATGAATGAAAGAATACAAGGGGCATAAAAAATAAAAATAAAAACAAACTAACTAACTAACTAAAAGAAATAAGGCTCCACTCAATCAAAAGAAAAACAACCGAGATGTATACTCTATGGAAAGAATTAAAACCAAATGGAAAGAGATGTAGTCAAAAAATGAACAAATAAAATTACCCGATTCTAGCTGGATATTTCTTGAAGTATGCCTCACAAATACTGAAAGATGGAGGAAAAAACATCAGCATTAAGTAATGGAAGCTAGGCAGCATTATATAAAATTAATAAAGCAACCAACAGAGTAAAACTAACAGTAGCCTAAAAGAAGAGGACTGTAAATATATGAATACTCGTGATGTAACAAATACAGATATTCAGAATGTGATATGAACTAGCCATTACTCTTAGCAAGTCCATATATAACAAAAAGTTTCTTGTTGATACTGTTCATCATGGATACCTTCGAGTAAAAGGTCTCCTCACAAGTACCCTAGGTGCATACTTCTTCTGTTTCCTAAGCCTATATTTCTCCTGCAGATAAAATGAATAGGACAACTTTAGAAAAAAGAATTGCTAGATGTACAAAGATGAAACTACTCGGCATATGCATATTCTGATCACCTGAGAGAAAACTGTTTTCTTTTCAAATGTTGCACTGTTGGCGATAAGAGCTTCCACAATTTCATCACCAGTTGCACCCTGACTACATATAAAGAGAAAGAGTATGCATCATTATTATTTTTTTATGAGTATGCATCATTGATAATAACAGATTTAAGGAAAATACAATAACCAATTACATGAAATGAATTATAAAAGACTTAAATTCCCATAAATGTTAAAACAATGAGGGAACGGTAGGAACATCCCCATGCGACTGCAATCCCAGCACAGTGGTTCCATGGTTGGCCTCCTGCAAGAAGGATCCCACAGAGCCAGAATCACAGTGACAGAGGCAGGGTTCAAGCAAGATCATTGTGCTGCAACATTTGACCAGCAAAAGAATAAAAGGTCTGGTCACCCCTTCTTTTATGTCACGACCAATTCAAATAATAATAACAACGCCCAACATATCCTGCATAGAAATAATATCTGAAATTTCCAATGCATCTCATCGTTGGTTAATTCAAAACTTCATGACTTCACCATTTGTGACAAATGTGTGTCTAGACCAAATTATTTTTAACCTTTTTTATTTTTTTAAGTCTGGCCAGTATCAACACAGTAGTGGCCTGCACTGCCACAATTCATACTTTAGCTAAGGCAACTTTCATGAAAATATACGCATCTTCAAGTTGGCCTTAATTAATCTTCAGACGATTACATGAGATCTAGCCTCAACTTGTTCTTGAACCAGTGGCAAAGTAAAGCAGTATCTTACCTTCGCATTGCATCGATATCTTCACTGGAAAGGCTTTGCGCCTTATTATTGTCTACAATCGCTCTGTTATCTCTCAGCTCATCTTTTGTGACCTGCTCTTCCTTCATCTTCTCCGTTTCTTGACAGTTAATGCCTTCGGAAACAGATATCGGAAAAAGAAAATCGCTTCAGTTAAAAATTGTGAAAGATAAAACCATTTCCTCTACAAAAATGTGTAGTAAGAAATCAAACCTTCTTCTCTGGAGGGCATGACGCGAGACAAATGTGGCCCACCGGCTACATTTTCGATTTGAAACAAAGAACCGAATGGACAACCTATTAAGGGCTTCAGAGAGTAACTTTTATTACCAATTTTCAGTGTACTGCAAATCACAGTATTTTCTTATCACTTAATAAGCATGTAAAACCAGAAATCAACGCAAAAATTCAATGGGCGAAAGACCTACGAAGCGGGCGAGAGTCGAGCAAAAACTAGGCGGTCGCCATCATTGATGTCGAGCAAAACGCTGCAACCCTCCCACGTGACTCTAGGGTTTCGATGCAATTCAGATTGGAGATTATCGGAGGACATCTTCAGAATCTACTAAGTAGAGGAATAACTTACAGCGCAGAAACTGTAGAATCAATAGAGTGATTTTTAGGGTTTATGAGGAGGGTGACGGTTGGAGCAGAACAACGAAGACCAAGAGGGTTTAACCGTTTCTGGGCTCCAAATAATTGAAGTCCAAGAATTGTGGGCCAACTAAACAAGATTACGAACCTAAACTTTTTTTTAGATAATATATTGGATAAGCTATTTTGTAAACTTATTTTCATTTACAAATTTTACAATTTTAGATTTTTAGATAAATGTCAAATTTACTCTTATTTATGATATTTATATTTATTATAATTTATCTTTTATTTAAATGTAAAATATTAATATTTTAAATTTGATTTTGTAAACATTAAATTATTGTGAGATTTAAATCAATCGTTCTCATAATTCTCTAATTTACTCCTTGATATATTCTACTAAAAAATCAAATTTATTACAAAATATTCAATTATTATCATAATTCTCAAATTTACTCCTTAATATATTCTACTAAATAATAAAATTTATTGCAAATATTTTTTCATTTTATTACATTTTTTTTGGCCAAATTTCAATAATATAGCCATCATAACATACACTTAAATAGAAATATATATATAGAGAGAGATAAACTATATCTGACTACCTTTTCAGTTATATGGAAATATAAACTATATCCGACTATAAACTTAAGCAATATACACTTAACAATGGTGATATAAACTATAGTCATTATAACCTACACTTATATGGAGATATAACCTATATATAGCTATAAAGTATATACGACTATATCACTCTACAATTAACCAACAAAACAAATAATCTACAAACCTTCTGGTCGGCGACTAGACAATGATCGAGATAAAAAGAAACCTCGGGATAAACAGACGGAAACAATGGATGGGCGGCCGGAGACGAAGGAACGCAGACGGTAGCCGGAGACGAAAGAATGGACGGAAACAGAACGATAGAAGAAGAAGAAAAGTTGGAGGAATGGAGTTTTCAAATTTTTTTAATAATTGAGGATTTTGGGGATTTTATATTTTTCACTGTTGAAAAGTCTAATTAGTCACAGTTTAAAGGATTTAAAATGTAACCTCAGCCAATTTTGAATTTTAAAAATTAATTAATATTGAGGTGAAATAAAAAATGATATATTAGTAAATTGGGTGATGGGTACCCTCCTAAATGAGGTTGTTTCATAACAAAAGTATAAATTTTATACAATTAAATCATTTTATGTAATTATAGTCTCTAAATAGCCTATGAATGTACTAATCCTTTTTTTTACACAACATGTGAAAGCGGGGATCAAACTTACACCTCTTAGTTGAACCTAAACTTTTAAGCAAGCAACAGTAACTATTAAATATCATTAGAGGTAAGAATCATTATATTCATGCTCGTCAATCCAATATGAATTATGCTTAGTTATTTATTATTGTGTTAGGTTTCACTATGATATTTGGAGAGAGTGGTACTAAGTGTTTATAAACACGTACGAGTTTTCTCACATTTATTTTAAGAAAAATATTAACAAATCATTCTACAATACTCCCGTGTACTTTTGTTGTCGTTACAAAAAATTACAAAACCATACACACATTAAAAATCTCCATGAGCAAGCTATTATAGAGAAACATGAACTAGTGCCTCGATGTTCATGTCTTCCACTTAGTATCAAAGGTGCTCCAAACTTCAAGGCTCAATCATCTTTTTGTGACAATGTCAATGTGTTCCAAATTGGAAGTGTGCTTTGAACCAACATCAAGTCGTTGAAGTTACATCAAGGTGCTCTCCTCTCGGGGTTCAATCTTGAACAGTATCGTAGATGTCTAAATGTCATATATTCATTTCACCTTCGTCATAGTTGATTCCACCATATTTAACAAATGAACCATTCGTTTTCACCATATCTCTTAATAATATGCAAGCAAATAACAAAGTAAATAAACTATATCGAGAAATGAGTTCAAGTTCCATAATAATCACCTATTTAAGATATTAAAATCTTATAAAACTTTTGACCACTTTCACCTCGCGGTAACAAAAATAAAAATCATACTTATCATCAACATTTAAAATTTAGATTTTTTTTTGTTTATTTAATCTTATTTCATTTCCATTCGTAGTCAGCCCACCTACCATGATTAATAAGAGGAGAGCCCAGAGGTGGCACTCTTTGATTAAGAAGAACAAGGAGACACAATCACTTCATTAATAAATTATTAATTGATAACAACCTCTTTACTTCGACTACTCAAAAGCCCAACCCACCTGAAAGTTTTATTATTATTCTTTTAAGGTTTTATTATCATTCTTGGCGGCGCACTACATTCTCCATCTTTCCTTTTCCCCATATAAAGGAGGTACAAGGATTATTTTGTATACATTATGTATTTTTTAAAATGTATTATGTCTAATAATTTTTTTTTATATGGTCAGTCATATTATTACACATTACATTTCACAAATATCCAACTTTTAAAATATTTACAAATCTAGATTTTCAAGATTTAAATATTTTTTTTTCGAATTGTCCTAAACAAAGGTCATTTTATTATATTTATTATTATAGTTTAAAATGTATTCATTTGTAGTGAGAATGGATGGTAATTTAATGTAAATATTTACATTAATGATTAAATGATAATATTCTAATAAATAATTAAATAAATATAGTAATTAATCAATGTACTTATTCTTGCTAAATTTTCTAGCCGTTCTTATTCGTATCTTGTGGCTTATATTATCTTTTTTAGGTTTTAAGGTTTAAGATTTAGGTTATTTCTTTATTAAAAAGATAAATGGTCTCTAGCAAAGGTTTTATTTATTTATTAAAAATATATTAGTAATTTTCACATAGACCCCACCATAAACGGGTATTTTTTGTGTAACATGGGAGTGAAATGATTCGAACTCATGACATTTTGATACATTAAGGAATTGAGCTATACTCATATTATCAATATCTCACATTATTACTCTCCACCATTTTATTTGTACTATTGGGTGCTCCCTGGTGTCTTATTTAAAAAACTAATTAAAAACTAACCTAAAAAATTTATGGTTAAATTTTGAAATTTCATGTCATTTCTTTTTAACTCTATAAAGTTTTTAATTGCTTTCAATTTTATATCTAATAGGTAACTAAAATTTTAAATTTGTGTCTAAAAAGTCTATAAACTCTCAGCGATTAAGACGTTTGATCAAAAGTTCAATCCTCTATCTCTACATTCATTCTTGTACAAAAAAAAAAAAATCTATGAACTTTCCATTTTTTTATTTCATAAATTCATAATCTATTGAAATTCTTGATACTTTCATGAACTTACTAGATACCAAAGTTAGAAATTAGACCTATGAACATAACTAAGCTTATAATTTAACTAAAAATTTATTTATAAATCAAAACATCCATAACTTCAAAAAGAAGAAATCACCTCAAAACAATATATATATAATACATACTTTTGATTTATCTGACATAAACAAATTAGATATTGATTAGAAAAAAATCATTACCTCACATGGATCAATAGATGCTTCGCTGACGTCTCCCCATTTCCTCTACAACCCCTCCCGGCTTTCCCCAAACACCAGAACAAGCCATCCACGATTATAAGAACAATCTCATCCTTGTTCCGGACGCCATATCCTAGTAACCAAACACCTCTCAAGAGTTCACAATTCTCCCATGGAGAAGGCCGAGAATCCAACCGTTCCGATCAGCCACAAACCAAACGGAGCAGACGGCTTCGTCATTCACGTAAGGGATCAAGAAGATTACAGAGGAGGAAGTTCCGGCGTGAGCCTCTCTCCGGCGAGGATTCTGAGCCGGATCCGCCGGATGTTCATGCGATTCATATTCTATTTTCCTTCTCGAGGTTCGTCGTCGTCGCCAATAATGGCGTCCAGGCAGAGAAATCTGGAGAAATTCGAGCCGCCGAAAACATCTTGCAGCTCGAATTACTCGTCTTACTCGCATTACAGCGAAGCAATCGCCGATTGTATCGAGTTCTTCAACAAGTCGTCGCTGCAGGAACAAATCGGCGTCGGAGGCAGAAACTCCGATGGAAATGCGATGGTATGATGAATGATTAAATGCACGGTCGCACACACAGGAATCGCTAATCCGATGCTAAATCGTTTCGATTCTCTGATTTTGAAAGCCGGAACGAACTAGGATTAATCGCGAACGATACTGTTTTCAGTGAATACTTTTGCAAATTTGCTTTTGCTCTTTCTGCGATTTGAGCTTGCAATAGGCAGGGTATCGAATCGATTCGCTTCTGCTATTTTTTCTTCTTCGCGTTTGTCGGTTTGTCGCAACTTTTTTGTTCGCTTCATGTGATTGAAGATTTTATGGAGGAGGAAAAAGAATAAAAATAAAATTTGCCTCCACAATGAGTCATACTCCAAGATAATGTTAATATAGTATTTTATTTCTACTTCTCAACTAAAATAATTTCTTAAACTCTAATTCAAAATTCATGTATTCATTTTTCTAACGTTCTCGTATCTCTGGAACTACATCTCATTTTTTATTTTTCATTTTTTTGTCGTAAATTTATTATTTATCTATTATGACCATGGAGAGTTATTAATACTTCTAGTATTTGAATCTCTTTCATAGATCGTAATTCATAATTATATAGGGTCCTAAATGACTGATTTTAATTTACAATTTAAATGACAAGCTAAAGTCACTAACTATAACTATATCTTAGGGTTGAATCTATAGTATTAACATTTTTGTTGTGAATGAAAAAAGATGAATGAATATATAATTGAATCACCACTAATCGGTCCAACTTAATCATTTGATGGTACATTTATGCATGTATAAGTCATATTTAATAAAAAAAAGTCTTGAAGTAATCAAATGTTTTCATAAATTAATAGAATGATATAGCTATTCCACTCTTTTTACAGAGAATTATTATTACTTTTCTTTTTGGGGGAAGTAAGAGACATTTATTTAAATAACATAAAATAAATAGAAAATTTGCAATGAAAAACATAATTCAAATTGAACTAAAATTCAAACGCAACAATATAAAATACAATGAGAAAAATCACCAATATGCTATATATTAAAAAGGAAAAAATGGTAATATTTTTAATATTTAGTATATATTATCTAGCGAAATTTCTGTTGAAAGGAAGAAAAAATCAATCGTTACAATTAAACATATAAGAATTAGAAAATATATATATATATATATATATATTATAAGAGTCAAAAGTGTACAATGATAAACGACAAATTTTAACCTTCAATACAAAGAAAACTTCAAATCCATCATCAAAATCTATAAAGAAGAAAAAAAAAGGCTTGGGTACGATCTAAAATACATGTTGCTTTAATTTTCTTTTGCCTTTTTGTTCCTATTTTTCATATATGATTTTTTTTTTCATTTCCTTTTCTTAGAAAAAAATCCCTTCATCAATATTGATGATTTCTTCATCGTGTCTCTTACCTTCTTCTTCACAGATGGACCATTATGTGCATCGATATTCACATGTTGCTTCTCACAATTAGCTTCACTTTCTTCTTCTTCTTCGAATCTCTGCGATTGCGTCTTGAAATCAAATTTCCAAGAGCCATCCACAGTTTCAAAACTTCTCATGGATTCTCTTTCTTTGAGCATTTGGAGCTTACGCTTTGTATCTTCCAACTCTTCTTGGAGAGAAGACAGAGATCGTGCCATGACTACACTTCGTTCTTTTGCTTTCTCCAAATTTTGCTTTGCAATATCTAATTCATCTCTCACGCTTTTGATCTTCATAAGGCTGTTCTCGTCTTCATTTTCTTCGCTCTCCATCTATGGCACCAATATATTAAATCAAATTTATTCACAAAAGCCAAATATTAATTATCTGTATTTCTTGTCACTTTTTAAAAGTTAGAATTAAACTGTTAATGTAGACATATATGTCAAAACTTCTTATATATTTTTTTATAAATCACGAAAACAAAAAAAGAAGTTATAATATGATATTTTTGTTGACATTTTGATATATAATCATATTTTTCAGATATATAAAAATATTGGATTGCCCCCTAATATGTTAAATCTTTTAATTCATGGAAATATATATTGATATTAATTTCGGATATATGGTATAAAGGTTACATCATGTTTTTCTTTTTCAAAAATTACAAAAAGTAGTATGATCTAAATTAAACAAATGAAAAATTGTAGATTTTTTAATCTCTTTTTACTTTAATCTTAGGAGTGATACTGTCATTGGGCAATTGTAAAATTGAAAACTTATTATTTTAAAAAAAAATCTCTATTTCTACATTTATTTATCTTAGTTTGTGGCAAGGACAAGATCCATTCTCTTTGGAGTCAAATATTTTCCTTCCTTTTTTTCATACATTTCTCTTTCTTACTTGTCAAAATTATAATTGGTATGAAAAGTATTTAACCTTTTACTATTTTCTAATAAAGAGGAACTTGCTTAGAAAAAACTTTACTTTTATATTTTTCTCCTTTAATCGTCAGATATTTAATAGTGGCAAGGAAATAGTTGTTCATTACTTGATAAATAGTTGTTCTTCATGAGCGGTGGGATTGGAGACATAATGATATAAAAAGAAAAGAACGGTGAGATTGGAGGATTAAAAAAAATATTTTATCATATATATCAATAATAATGTACTAAAATTACAAATATATATATAATATATATATGTGTGTGTGAATTGAGTTGAGATGTAGTAAATTGAAAATTGACCTGGTGGAGAACGTTGGCGTAGAGGTCCGGTTCTAAAATTCGTTTGCCGTACAGCTCGACGGCTTCCTTCACCGACCGATACGGCCGTTTCTCCATTATCTTCATCTATTAATTACCCAGAAAAAAAATATAATAATAATGGAGCAAATTAATTCAACTACACAACTACTGAGAAAAAGCGTTAACTGAAACGACGCCATTTTAAAGGGAGACAGAAAGAGAAGGAGAAGATGAAACTGAAAGTGACCGAACAAGGAAGCTTCGTTTCTTCGCTTCCACTTCACTGGAAAATGATCCGTTTTTAAAACTGCTTTTTCCAGAGGATCCGACCCGGTTCGGATATGGCCCACCCACCCGAAATCTTCCTCTAATTCCATTTCCATACTTCGTTGTTTGTTATTGTTTTGTTGCAGAATCCAATCGGCACATGGCTAGACTTCGTACGACTTGTCGGTTACGAACCGTTACATCTTACACTTCACGAACAAGTAAAAAATAAAGCCAAAACATATATATCCTTGTGGTTTGTTGTGATCGTAATTCATTCACGAGTATATATGTGTGTTATATTTTGGTAACTTCCTCTTCAAGATTGTGAGAAAAACTTAGATTTGACGGAAAAATAAAACAGAGAGATATATCTTAGTCTGTATTTGATTTTAAAAAATATATTATATATCATAAATGAATTAAATTGATCCAACCTATCCGTTTAAACTTTTGGATTGAGTGTTAGTTTATTCATCTTTAACATAGTATCAAAGCGGGAGATCATGTGTTCAAATGTCTGCATTGTTGTTTGGAGTGTTAGATATCCAAGAGCGGACATTGTGTCTTCTCCTTTTAACTTCATTATCCATCTTTTTCTAACAAACTTTAAATTTCTGACCAAGAGAAATACAGAAAATTACATATTCTTTCTATTTCTTAAAATACTAAAAGGATTTACAATTTTTATTGAAGTGTCAGCATAAAGATATGTACTTACGGATGAGTATCTAAATATTATTTACTTTAGTTTATATTTATCTATGGATCAATAAATTAATTTTTTGAAATAAGAATTCTGGAAATAAGTGATTTATTTTCTATCTGGATGTTAAATGTTAAGTTTGGTTTGAAGTGTATTTTTGAAAACAAACAAATAAATAAAGACTTGGAAGTTAGAGCAAGATGAACTTCATGCATGTCAATCAGTTAATCTCTTCCTAATATTAACATTTTGAACGGCATGACTATCACATCGTGCCACGTCAGCTGAGTCCGAACTTTTTTAAGAGTGACTGTTGTGGCCCATTAGCATATTTTTACGGGCTGGGCTTATGATAAAGTTAGGGCCCATACTTGATGAAATGGGCCGTGTTTATTGGAAAGTTGGAGGATGGATCTGCTTGTATTACAAGTCGGAAATTAAATAAAAATAATAGGGGTTTAAAATTTTAAAATGATTTTAAAAATCAAATTGAATTGACTCAAATAATCTAGTCAAGTTTTTTATCTTTCTAAAAATATGAATGCTAAAAAAAAAATATATGGAGATCTGAATTTCACAAAGATTTCAGCGTCATTGAATTAGGTAGGAAAACTAATTTTTAAATGTCTTAAAAATTATAATTACTAATATCTACGTACATATTAGTTAATTTCTATTTTTCTTTTAAGTTTATGTCTAACGTATCATATCATCAAAGTTTATTATCAATCAAACGATGAGCAAAAGTAAAATAGGAAGATATTAAAACAGAGAAAACTAAATTACAATTTTTTAAATAACTGATACAAAATTGTAAAAACATTTCGAAATATATATTTTGAATGGATATTTTATTGATGGGGACGAGGATTGAGCCACGTTGTGGGAGGAAAGAAGCGGTACCGGTTTCTGAATCACTTGGAGCGACTCGGTGGATCTGGGCGTCACGATTGAAGGAATCAACTTTGCTTATGCCACGTCCAAACTCTCTTTCCCATGCCCAGAAAAAGGAACAACGCTTTTTAAATTTTATTCGTCTTTTTATTAAAAACAAAATTCAAAAGTATCCACAAAATCTAAAAGAAATTCTGATTCTAATTTCCAGCCAAAAATTATAATTACCAAGTTACCCTTTATACAATCATTTTCATTTTCAAATATTAGACTTGAAAAATGTGACAATCTTAAATTTGAATGTGTAACCATTTTTATCTTCCGCTCTAAAAAAAAGCCATTTTTTCTTACGAAATTATTAGAAATTGATATATCTTCCCGTCCCGTGTAAGCTCACTAATTTAAAAAAAAAAAAAAATTTCATTTTTCTCTTTTAATTTGTGATCAAGATTTAGTCCGGCTTAATAAGGGGCGAAGCGAAAATTCATATGGGTAGAGTTTGATTTTTGGGTTTGGAGAGATTTTTGCCTTGGTTAAAAATTAATGGTGTACTTGTCTAGGTTCAAAATACCCTTAGACTTATTTTCAAAAAGAAATTCTTAGAACGTCTGGTGTTGGAATTTCGAACTCACAACATTTTAATTAGAAATAAATGGTGTAAACATGTGAGTATGGAGTTTCGAATTCACAAAGTACATTTTAATTGAAAATAAGTATTATAATTAAACCGAACTATCCTGAGAGTGGAGTTTTAAACTCCACAAACATTTTAACAGAAATAGGTGGTGTGAAGATGTGAGCGTGTAGTTTCGAACTCACGCCTTTTAATTGAAAATAGCTCCCTCTAGCAAAGCAAACCCTTGGATCGTTCAAGATTAAAAATTAATTTCTTCAAAAGAAGAAAGAAAGAAACAAAAAGAAAAAGAAAAAGAAAAAGAAAAGAAGTTGGCGTAGATATACCGCCTCATTATTTATACTGTCTATATAAAAGAAAATAGACAAACATGTACAATAAACTTGGCTTGTTCTTTGTTCTTCGGACACAGCTTACAATAACAAAACAGTGGATATATATATATTATATTATATGTATAGGTTGTAGAGAAAGGAGGGTAGAATAGAGAATTAGTTTATAAGTTGATATAGGCATCAGTATTCAGGGGCATTTGGGGCGGCCGCCGTGGGTGGTCATGGCGGCGTAGCAAGGGCAGAGGTGGTGGTTTCCGGAGGTTCCCGGCGGAACGCAGTTGCAGCGCTGACAGCACGTCCCGCACGCCCTATTGCACAGCCGCGGCCTCGACGACAGCCGGCACCTCCCCGCGCACGCGCCGCCGCAGTCTAATAATCAAAACCGCCCCACAAAAACAAAACGTGTGAGCGAGTTTAATTTATGTTACTTTGAAAACTCTTTTTATAAAAATAGTTCCAGTTACAAATAACTATGAGTTTAGCAATTGTAAACCCATTTAATTGAAGTGATTTTTATTGGCAATCAAATTATAAATTAGTCATTTTGATTAATTAGGGGAAAGGGAAGAAAGAAGAATTGACGAAGAATTACCCATTTTGTAAGGAGTACTGGGGGAGATTCCTGCTTGGTCGACGGACTCCACCTGCAACTGAAGCATCCAAAGAAGAATTTTTAACAATTATTTACTGAGATAAATTAAGATGAGTAAGAAAGAGCAGTTAATTAGAATTTTACTGCAGGGTGATCATCGGCGGCGGCGTGGAGGAAGAGCAGAGAGAATAGGAGGAGTGAAGCGACGATGAGAACTTTGGAGAACATCGACATGGTTTTACTTTTTTAACCTATTCTAATTTCTATTCACTCACTCTCAGTTGGGTGCAGAAATTAGAAGAAAAGACTCTACTTTTATACCCAAAACCCCTCTGGGGGTGGGCGTGGGTAGGTGTTTATTATTATTATTATAAATAACGTTTCAAAAATACTTAAATATAATATTAACAAAAAGTTTAATGAAAACTTATTTGGACTGGATTAATTCTGAAAAAAGAGAGGGGATGTGAAAGAAGTTCGTTACTGTTTTTAATAAAAAAAATTAACATAAAATTGGATAGATTATTGACAGTAGAGAGAAAAAAATTTTAAGTTAAAATTGGGTTATATATCCTACGGCAACTCGTTGATTAGATATTAGTTTGCTATTAAAAATATTAATAAATATTATTTAAATGATAATTTTGAAATGTTAACAATCAATGCTGACCTGCTGTGTATTGAGATTGAAGAACGATGGTATTTTTTAAAACAAAGGGCAAAATTCTTAAGTGCTTTTGTAATTTAGCGAAAATGTTAGAGCTATTTTGTCCAACAGATTATTTATATTAATTTTATATTCTTATAAAAGATAAAATTTCAATATTATTATTCAATTTCAACTTTAATTTTCATTTTAAAAGAATATATATTTATATAATTGATTATATTTTTGGTGGAATTTATTTATCACGTTATAAAATTTGAAATTTTCAAGGAAATTTTTGTCAAATTTATGTTTATCCTGAAACTGTTTCAAAACATATATTTAAGTATCCTACATTGAAAAAAAAAACCTTACAATGATTTATTTATTACCAATTAGTTTTGAGATAAAACTCATGAATATTAATAATATTTAGGTTGGACCAAGTGAATTATGTGTGATTGGATTTTTCTTTTTCGTGGATAGTATTTTTTTTTTTCATTTCATTTGCTTCTCTTCGATGGAAGTTTTATCTACCGCTCCCTCTTAGTTGCAATGCCCATGCTTTAATAAAGTTTTCATAAATTCTTGAATTTGTTATTATTTTCTTTTATTTTCCAATTATTTTCTGCTTATTTCTAGTTTGGGAGTGTGAGTTGTTTCCATTTGATGGAAAAACTTAATATTAAAAGTTAGAAAATAAAATTACTACCAAATCCATATTTAAAATATATATATGTTTTTTTCTCATTTAAATTTACGAGCTTAAAAAAGCAGATGGATAATATCCAAGTTTAGATAAGAGTGTGACAGTCATGAATAGAGCCAAAGGCTATATTTATTTAATATTAAAAACGATGCATAATGTTTCCAGGCAGGCGCCAGCTTTGTGAATTTGCTATTCTTGGCAATGGCATGCGTTTTCCAAAACACAGGCCGCTTCTGCATCTACTCTATGAAACCAAATAATGAAAGGTTAAATCATAAGTTTCAAAATATCTATAATTTTATATTTTATATTTAATAGAAGCTTTCTAACACATCCAATATATTTTTTTTTAATGACGAATCTATTAGATATAAGTTCAAATTTTGTTTATAAGACTTGAAGTTTCAATTTTATGTCGGTGGATTTTAGAAAATGTCAATTAGATTCGGCCTAATAGATCCATGAATTTTAATTTAAAAAAAATAGATCAATGACCTATTAGATACAAAATTGAAAGTTATAAAATGTATCTTTCTTTGTAAGTTTAGAGACATATTAAACATAAAATTAATAGTTTGTGGATTTATTGGACATAACCCTAAAAGTTTGAGGACTAAACTTGTAATTTAATCCAACATTAAATACTTAAACTAATGAGAAAAAATTCTCAAAGTCTTTTAATCAAAATACATATCTCAACTATGTTATGTGAGACCATCTTTATGTTTAAATAATGTACAAATGATTGTATGTAAAAAAATATAGACAATTAATTGATATATTAATTTTATTTTATGTTGACATGTTTGATAACAAATAGTTGCATTTATCRGAAGCCTTTAAATTTTTAAAGTTGTATCTATTTGGTTATTGCAGTTAATTTTTTTTAATAGGTTATTAAGCTCTATTTTCTAGTTCAACAACATGTGAAAAGTAGAGATTATCCGACTTTGTTTCTCAAGAAATCTGTGCAGCAGAAGATCCGAAATTTAATACTTTCTATACAAAAAATATTCTCTTAAACAAAGGTATTCGTGCTTAGATAGCGGATCTTGAAAACCTTATATTCCCTGAGAAGGTTCTACCCTATGGAAACACTCTAATGGAACTTTAGCTTTAGCTGGTCATGACTAAGAAACTACTAGTTTCGCTTGGTGGGTAGGGAATGCCCAACTTATCAATTTATTCGGTAATGATAAAGTAACTACCTCAATTATCCAGGAGAACTTCTTTATTCAAGATAAACCTCCACGACAACAATAAAAATAACTTCAATAATATAGATTCATCTCTCAACTTCGCTGACCATATTAGTGTTACTTAAAGTGTATTAGGGAGTGATTTTGGTCACCATTGTCAAAATCACTTTCATTTCCAATGATCATGTTTGACAAATTAAAAAATTGATTCTAGAAAAGTTTAAGATCAGTCTAAATTGATTTTTAAGGTATTGGTGATTTTAAAAAATAATTATACTTAAATCTTTTTTTTCTTCAAAATTACTGATTTTACCATCACTCACAAACATACTCTTTTTTTACAACTTCAATGCATAATTTTTGTCTTACTTTTTTTACATCCGTCGATATAACGACACATCCAATATTTCCATATATCTATAGTTTCAACGTCGATATGAGGAGTAAATCGACATTTCTATCCTATTACAAAAAAAAAACGACAAAATATAAAAAAAATATAACAAAATATCACTAATATATACCTAATATTTATTTATTAGGTATATATTATATATTAACAAAGCGTCAAGATGCTGGAGGCCATGGCCGTAGTGGAAGGGGGCTTCTAACTTTGAAATTTCGGGTGTCTTTTCCTATTTGTATGGAAGTCGAATTCCGCAGAAGTAATGAAACTTTTGCGTGGGGAAGACGACGATCTCAGTGAGACTCGGTATATGTTGTTAATGAAATCCAACTTTTGAAAGAATCCTGTGGAAAAATCCCCTTCAATAAGGTGGAGAATCAAACTTTTGTGCCCATTCGATTGCAAGTAAGGCTTTTGAAAGAATTATGTGGAAAAACCAAGCTTTTGAGATTGAGAGGAGTAAGAGTTGGGAATCCTTTATCATTGGTTGGCTGGTCATTTTAGCCAATCAAAGTTTTTCTCCTTATAATGAAGTAAATTAAACAGTGATACTTCATATATAAAATATTCACTTGTTAATTTAAATATTTTTACGATGTTTTAAGTTATATAAAGTTTACAGAAATATTCATCAATACTTTATCAATATTTCCATGAAATTGTGACATCGACATTTAAAATATTGATTATGGTATTTACTCTTGTGCATTTTTACTAGAACTTCCGCTGGTTATAAAAACAAAATAAATTGAAAACATATCCCTCCCGATCCTCCAACTCAACGTTTAAAGAACCAAAACCCTAATTCACCGATCACAACCGACCCAATTAAAAGCAAAACAAACCCAACGCCTTAAAACCATGACCTATATTCTTATTAAATCGAGTATTTGATTAATAAAAAAACACACAAGTGTCGTATTATTTTAAATAAATACATTAACAAATGTCACATATATCTTGTCAATATTTCGTTAGCGATATTCATGAAAATTTAGACATTTTAGAACTATTTTCTAAATATGAGAGACTAAATTATCAATTTTTTAAATTGCGGACTACATAGAAACATATTCTCACGGACTACATAGAAACATATTCTCAAATCCAGGGGACGGACCAAAACTGTATTTTACCTATAAAACTTTGTTACTTTTCAAATAAATTTAAATTTATTAAATATTAAATGTACGATGTTTAATCAAAATGATCAGGTCTCTTAGTGAAGCTCGAATTGATGATATCGACGAATGGAGGTACCTACAAAATAGATTTAGTATTCCGACGTTCTAGTCAGTAATTATCTGATCTACAATCGAGAGAAAATATAGTTTCGTGTACTTGGCATGAGAGATGAGATCTCTATTTATAAAAGTGAGCTCTCGATAGAAACTTCCAATGGCGATCTAACGACTCTCCGATTGTGTAAGAATCGCAGCACTTTCTCGAAGATTGTGTATGGTGCTTTGTGTCATGGTCATGCTTGTCTAGGGCCTGTTGCCTATGGCCGCATGCCCATAACAACCTCTTTCCACATACTTTTATGTCATGTATTTAGTTTTACTTGTTATTTTGTTTTTCTTGTACTTTTGGTGGCGAGTGGCTCATCGCCACTTTGCATGTTCACGCCTGCCAAAGGCAAAATGCTTTATAATCTACCTTAGGGGTACACCTAGTCATCCTCCCTACATTGCGTTGTATTTTTGTCTTGCCACTAATCTATTCTCTTGCATTCAAGCTTACAACTTTCTAAAATGCTTTCAAACGTTTTTCAAAACCTTTTTCTCTAACCCCATTTTCCAAAACTGTTTTCTTGAGAACGGGGGTGGAGGTTGCGACATATAACCTTTGTGCCACCGGCTATTCGTTTCCGCAATGGCTGACTTGCTAGAGGGTGAAAGCAAGTGCCGCACAATCGCTTCGTGAGTCCCGTTAAAGTGCGATTGTGACACTTTGCGCCTGCAGGTGCTTTTTAAGATTGTTTCGTTCTTTGAAGAGGTTGAAGGAGAGATGAAATAGTTTATGATCTTTACTTTTAGAATGTCCGTCAAATGATTGGGTTTTTTTTATTTAGAGATTAAAAATAGACATTTTAAGAGTTAGTAACGACAATGTGAGTTCGAATCTCCACGTCCATCTATAAAAAATTGGATTACCAAATAATTTGATTTTTAAAAAACGAGACAAAATTACGTGGATGGAAGTTAACAAGTAAAACAAGATGAAAACGTACAAAAATTTAACAAGGTGAAAAATTGAAACTAAAGACATGTCAACTAAACTAAACACAGTTCAACGGATCAAGACACTTGTTTTCGACTTAAAAAAATCGAAATTGTCACCTTCATGTTATAAATGATAAAATTAAAAAGAATTAAAAAAAAAGGAGAAAAAAGCGTTGGATCTGACTCTCAACCAGAATGAATCATTGTGCGGCCTGTGCGCCACAGCTGTAAATTACAGGAAATAACAAAAAGTTATAACATAATAAATAAAATCTTATAATATGGATCTAGATTTCTTTTTTTCTTTTCTAAATTAGTAAAAATCTGAAATGAAAAAATTCTTTCAAGGCTTACAAATGGCCGATGGGTCCAAATAGTACACAATATTTTAAATCATGACACCATCATAAATTTTCTCACCAGAATTGAATGTAATCAAGCTTCTGCCACGTGTCCTTTCCCTTTCTAATTTTCTTTCATTTTTAATCAATGAAACCTAAAAAAAAAAATCAATACATAGCTTAACCGCTAAAATACCAATATTCGACCAAAAGATATCGAATTAAAATTTACCATCCAGATGTTGTACTAATATATATATATATATATATATAATTCTATAAATACCACATAATCCATTATTTTGGAGGGGAGAAGAAATGAGTGGATAATTATTTTAGTTAATTGGTCTCTGATTTAAAAAATTATATTAAAAATTAAGATTTTTTCTCTAAGTTATAATATAAAAACTTAAAAGAAAATTTTAAAATATCACATCAATATTCTACTATTATTGTTAAAGAAACGTTGAGGTCACCATTTCATGTCCATGTTGGTTGACAATAAAATCTAAAACTACCAAAATGTTAAAGACAATTAAAAATTAAGGCAAATATTTCTAAAACTTCAAATACTTATTTATTTATTTTTTAGAAAATGGAGTTGCTAGTAGTTGCGCATACATAGTTAAAAGACAACAATTTTTTTTTTGGGTAAATATCGAAGAAAAGTAATGTTTTGTGGCAACTTTTCCTTGTGTCAAAAAGTAAAAGGAAAAAATGTCGAGTAAAAAAGTAAAATTGATCATTAGAAATAGAAACTGAAGAAAAGATCAATATCTTTTTTTACCCCCACAGTCAATGTGGAGGTGATGAATGAAAGAAAGAGTATTCATTGGCTAACATGAATCAAATGCCATCAATTAAAATCAATTACAAAAGGCAAAAATCAAATGTGTTGATTAACTTTGATCGACTTACTGTGTAAAGCAGACCGGCTAAATTACTACCTAGTCCTCTTATAGTTGAGCTTAATTTTAATTGTCTCTCTAATAAACACGTCTGAAAATCTAGATTATATCTTTTGTAGGTGCCAATTCGTTCAATTGTTATGGGAAGATTTAGTTTGGAGTATATGGATCGAGAAGAATAATAGAGTTCTTAAGAGGAAGAGGTTAAGGTCGAGATTAGTGTACTAAATATCATTTGATACGATAAGTCACAACGATGTGTCAAATAACTTGACACATCAACCAAATGAAGCTTCGTTTTTCTTTAAATGTTGACAACACATCATTGAAATCTTACGACACGTCGACTGCTTCATGATTATTTAGACTACATCTTACGATCAAGTCCACTAAAATTTTAAATACTCATCGAGTCAACTTTTTGGCCCAATTGTTAGAAACTTTTTTACCGATGTTGGCCTGGGTAAATTTCCCTGCACAATTTTCGAAAAAATGGATGTTGACCATTCTCCAGGATTACAAATGTTATGGTCATTTCTCATTATAATGCAATTTATTTATATGGCCATCACTCAAAATTTCTCTATAAAAGCTCTCATTCATGCACCGAATATCCTCTCTAGTAGGATAATTCCTCTTCTTCTTTCTTTCTTGCTTTTTTTTTTAGGAAAAAATAACTTTTTTTATATGGATGGATAATATCAAAGTTTATTATTTTTTTATTACTTTAAAACAATGATCTATTTCTTATTAAAAAATCATGAAAAATTAATTAAAAGTTATTTACAATTTTAGTATAATATTTATGTTTTTGTTAATGAGATTTTATAGATCTTTTTATATCTTGTACAATCAAAATATTGGCAAACTTGTTGTATTAATGTCACACGATTACTCTTTGATTTATAATTATATATATGTTTCTCTTTGATAGCTTTAAACCATGTTACCAACATTTTATATCTACTAATGATCAAATTTTGTTATTATATTCTGAGAATCATAATTTTATTTACTAATTCAAATATTGTTCGCCAAACTCCATTAAGCAACATTGAACTTTAATAATAATGTCCATTAATCTTCACTATCTTATTCCAACATTTCTACCTACATATCTTATTCCAACATTTCTATTTACGTCAACATTTCAATAAATTATTCATATTATTACATATGATGATTAAAAATAATCAATTATAGTATAATTAAACTACAATTAAAAGTAAAATTTTCCTTATATTCAAACAATTTCCATTAATTTTCACAATTTCCATTCTTTTTCTCAAAATATCCGTCAACATTAACATTTCTATAAAATCAAGAATTCGACATTTTCGTCAATATCAACCTATCAAATCTTCCTTTTCAAACCTTCCTTGAGACATCACAAGATTTTAATTCTTCTCGTGGCTCTCGATTTCTATGATTTTGATAATGCTTAAAAAACATTTTTAAGAAAGTATCGTGTGTTCTTGAATTAGTTAAATGCTGAATCAAAAGGAGGGAGGAAAAGGCCGTTGATTTTAAGCCAGCATAAGCAGCAGTGGATTTAGAAAAATAGCAAAATTTTAACAAATAAACTTACTAAAAATAGAGGAATAATTAAAGTTAAAAATCTATTTGGTCATTAAACAATCTCTAATCTTTACCTAATAAGTTATTTAAGTTCTGGCCGTTAATCTTTTTTATTACTTATTTAACTTAAATCTTGATCTAATCTAAATTCCAATAGTTTGGTTTCAAATATTTTACTTGTGTAGACGTCTAGTTACTAAGAAAATGAACAAAATATGTGTCCATTTTACATTTTTGTTAAATAATTTAAGATTTTTAAATAAGTGTTACAATTTTTACCATTTTGTTCAACTCCCACTATATTTACCAACTAATTTTGATAACAAGCAAGCTAAAAATCTGATAAAACTCACTAATTTCAACGAAAAATAAAACACTACACATAAATAAAACCCCACCATCAATTACCTATGTTTTATAATTCATTCAACGCACATAAGCTTTATTTTAAAAAATAAAAAAAAATTCAAACAAAAGTTCATCCGAAGATAAAAATTGCAGGTCCAGGGCATGATTGAATGTGGGTAAACTAAAATCACTTTTAACATTACCAAAATCACTTTAAAATGTTTGGAGATCAGTAATTTCCGATCAGCCACTAGGAAAGTGATTTTAAATACTCTGATGGTTCTACAAACACTGTTTACAAAAATCTTTAACCAAATTTCTAAAACTACAAAAGCACCAAAAAGGGGGAAAAAAGCAAGTGAAATGACAATAGCACCTTCATTATTCATCTTTTATTACTAAAATGTAAGATGCAGATGCACACAAGTTTAGCAAGCAAGTATGCTCTGTTTTTTTTTTATCTTCTTTTATCTTGCAGTTCAGTCACAACAACTTTCACTACGGGATTAGAATTGGGTAAAGACAAGATATTCTTACCACATGTATGTCGTTCACACAAGCAGCAGTGGTGGCGGCCGCCGTTCAGACCACTCCGGCAGGAAGGCGTACGGCGAGCTGGCCACCAAGAATACTGCAACAACAACAGCATTGAAAGAGCTCACAAACTTGTATTTGGCAAGAAGAATAAAAGAAGTTCAAATGTGATTTTTTATGTTAAGAGCTTTGTTTGGAAACTATTTTGAAAATAACTTTCTTTATTTTGTTTTCTAAACTTGTGGTAGATAATGTTGAATGAATCTAAATCATAGCTTTTATTTCTGAGTTTTCACTCATAGGTCACTTTAAGAAAGAGTTTTCACAAATTACACTTTAGCCTCGAGGTTTTGAGCAATAGGTTTAAAAGGTCTCTAAACTAAAGGTTATGAGAAATAGGTTTAAAAGGTCTCTAAACTAACAATATTAGTCCCTGTTTACAATAGGCTAACGGTTTTTTCTTTTCTTTTCTTTTCTTTTTTGAGAACGGTAGTTAAGCTTTGTTCCCTTATACCTAGAGGCACCCGCACCCACGCCCGCCCCAGATCCAAATCCGGGAGACGTTAAAAGTTTTTTTTATTAAGCTCACTGGAAGGTTTAAACTTGAGATTTCAAAACCAATATGACAAAGAGACCCTTAAACCTTTACCGACCAGGCTGTCCGTTGGGGACAACGGAGTATATAAAAAGTGAAATGAAAATTTTATCTCTTTCCTCCCTCTCCCTGTTTCCAACACGTCCTCCCCCTTCCAATTTTAAACCTATTTTAAAAAATTTAGAGGCTACTAAAAACTCAAAGTATCAAAGTGACATATAAGTAAAAACCTATCATTTTAAAAGAGACTGAAATTAAGATTGAAACGGAGGGACCAAATTATTAAAGAAAAAAAATCATATTTAAATCTAATAATATCGATACATATATTTAAAATTATGAAAGGAAACAGAGAACCAACCTTTTGACATAGTAATAACAAAAATCTGCGAGAACAAAGGTTTGGACAATTTCTGAAAGGAGAACCATAATTGGCCAATATCCTCTTCCCAATTCTACCAGTAGTGCCCCACGAGTCGCTACCATCTATGTATTTATTTAAAGAAAAAATATCAGGAATTAACAACTGAATCATAGGTTAGGAGATATATACCCTTCAAAGTTCCTATATTTAACTTCTAGCTGGAAAATTTAGGCCCGTTCCGTGTTTTTGTTTTCTGTTTCTGAAAAACAAGATTATAAACACAGACTTCTACCTATATTTATATGTTTTGTTTTCTACTTATTAAAAATGTTTTCAAAATTTAAACTAAAATTTGAAAATTAAAAACAGTAACTTTTAAAAACTTTTATTTTATTTTGAAATTTAACTAAGAATTCAAATGTGTTTCTAAAATGGATGGTAAATATACGAAAGAAACTGAGAAACAAACATAATCATTAGAAATGGAAACAAAAGACGAAATTTTTATCAAGTACTTTTAATAACAGATTTGTTTGGTTGCACAATATTCAAAAGTGATTCTACTAATTATAAAATGTTGGTCAATCATCTAAAGTCACTATTTATATAATCATCTCTCRAGTGTGTATTTAAAAAATGTTTTTAAATTAATATGACTCTTAAAAAATGCTTTTTATTTATTATCAAATACTGTTACGTACTTTTACTCATCTCTAAAATCACTTAGAAAGAAATGTAGGAATTCTTCTATAACTACTTATAGAAAAAGTGATTTTGTTAAATAAATTCTTTCGACCGTCATCTCAAACACACACTTACAATCGTAGTGTTGCCAAGATATTAAAACTACAAATTGATTAATTATTCTTTCTTTTTTAAGTACAATTATTCTTTCTTTTTATGACTAAGGTATCTAGGGTGAGCCTACTCCTTGCATTACGCTCATGACCCGCCCCACTCATCTTGGAAAAGGTCAAGACCTCTTCTAAGACCAGCTTCAAGGAGGAAACAAGGGTTTTAAATAAATTTCTAAAAYTTATAAGTGAAAAATACAATATATAAAGTTTGAGATGAAGTAAAGAACCTGTAAAATCCAATTTGCACAGTGCAGGAACCTGGCAACTCCTAAGGCAAATACATATTGCGCGGTGAATGGCTCAACAATCTGGACCAGAGGAAACAAGATGTGAAAGAAATATAAAATTGAAGAGGGATGCTAGAGGAAGAATTGTAATTTAAAACATGAACAATATTAGATTTTCTAACTAATACAATTTAGTCCTCCCTAATACTTTGCTAGTTTTTCAATTTCGTCTCCAATCTTTTTTAAAATTCAATTTCATCTTTTATATATTGAATTTAATAACACTCAATGTTGCAAGAACGATGATTTGTGAATTTCAGAAAGAAATTTTTATGAGGTTGTTAGTTGTTCTAAATAGCATTTATAATGGGTTAATTTTATGTATTATCATGTCACTGAGTCAGAAAAGTTACTACAAAGTCAAGAAGTATGATGTAGGTATGTTCAAAATTAAAACAATATTTCCAAACTCAATTAATAAAACGTATTTTGTAGTGACATCAACATTTTATCAATGAATATTAATATTTCGGTTTTGTGACAGTAAAAATTTAATTGGAAAAAAAAATCAATACAAGAAACTTTTGAAACATTAGAGACAAAATTATATATTTGTTGTTTTTTTAAAGAAAAAGTAAGATTTATCACCTTCATGTTCTGCATGACCCGAACCTGTGGTAGAACACAAATGGCTTCAAGGTAAACACAAAACGCCCAGAGGATTCTACTAAAAGAACCAACAGATGGAGATGTTGGATGGTAGGGGACGGCAAGAAGAATACATGGTACCACCTGCATCCAAGAAACAAGACAAGAGTGAACAGAACTACAAAGATCTAAGGTCGAACATTATCATTGAAAGTATGGTAAAGAATGGAATTTGAAGGGATTATATTGAACCACAGAACACATAACATATTTTTGCAGCAGTCATCTACTCGTAAAGTCAATTTTGATATTTGCAATGAATAAATGTCTTGCTGGTGTTCGGGTTAAACTACGACTAACAACACAAGATAAATGTTTGATCATACAATATTTGTTTATTAGAGAACTTGTAAGATTTAAGCATTCTAGATATGACCATAACGAGGTTTTAACCCATTCTTCCAAAGTTCATCCATCTACTTTTTTCACTAAGGAGTAAGGGCCACTAGGCCAATCTATGGTCAAAAATTTTCAATTTAAACTGACAAGGTAAATTAATCGCCTTTTTGGGAGTATAATTCCGAAAAATCATTCTTAAGTTTACAACCCACAACACACTTTTGCAGAAATTGACCAAGAAATCCAAGGTTGAAGAACACTCACCAAGTACAGAACTTTAAAATTATCTTTGTCCCCCATGTAACTGGCTTTGAGCTTGAACCGGATCATGTAAATGACCCAAAGAGTTGGTACTAAAGTAGCCAAATCAAGGAATGTGTGTACGTCATATTCAATGACAAAGCTGCAATAGAGTCTAGCAGCTAGAAAACAAGAGGTTAATTCCTGTGACTTGAGTGAAAGACCTGCAGGAAAACAAAGGAGATAGAACTCAAAGCTTACTCTAAATTTTTAAAATTACAGCTCAATTCACTTCAAAGACGAAACTGCAACATCAAAATCCTAAACAAAAGTTAATTCTAGTTGAAGTCAACTCCAATTAAGTAACACTAGAAACAACCAAGAAAAACAAACTGAAGATTACAGAGAGCCAAAGGGAAAAAGTAAATTATAGGGCAAAAACCTATTGAAATTATACCTGCACAACTCCTCTCCTTCATGAGCTTATAGATAAGAATCACAATTCCGATGGCATGAACAGCTTCAGCGGCAACAAAAATGTTTCTGTGATCGTGGACCATCACATAGAGAAGAACAAGAGAGATTATAGCAGACACCACCCCCAAAAACGCTTTCATTTTCGGCGGTTGCCTCCGAACCCATGACGTAATGGCTCGAATCGGCCTCTTGGGTACCTTCATTTCTTATCCGTTCTCTCTACTAGCCCTAAAATTGCCCTAATCGGAGAGCCTCTGAAAAAACCACAGCACAATGGGAGGACAGAGTGAAGAAACAGGATATTTAGGCCTTGGAATGGAATTATTGGGGACTGGTTGAAATCGTTTTCCACGTGAAATAAAGTTGTGGATATGTGATGTCTGTGAATTGGGGGTTTTACCATCGCCATTAGCGATGGCATTATGGAGCTCCATTTCCACAGAATTGAACCGCGGAGCCGTTAAAATAGTTCGGAGTATTGGATTTGGAGTTATCCTGCGGCTAGAGGACCACGAGCGTGGTGGGATTGTTGATCCCATCTCTGATCTCATCGATTTTGCGATTTCTTCTGGATAATGATAATGATAATTGTGAAGTGGGACAGCCAACTCTGAATCGGATTGAGAAAAGAGAAAAACAACGAGACAGGCGACCCCAAAAAATAAAATAAAAATAAGAAATAGGGACCGTGGACTGGATTTTTTTGTCCTTTTTTAATATAACACCACGTTGTAAATGGTTTAATTGCTTTTTGTTTCATAGATCCAACTCCTAATTTGAGAAATTTGAGATATATATCAATTGTTGTTGTTTTTTTTCAAAGTATATATCAATTGCTGTTGAACTATATTCGTTTTGGTATTTTAATCAGTTTAGTTAAATTAAGGTTTGTAACTGGATCCACATCATTATTATTAATGTGGTAAATAATGAACTAGAGATTTTCTAAGAAGGTTGTGTATAATTTTGTCTCATCTATACAAATAATATGTAGGGGTGAAAATTCAAACTAACGACCTTTTAATTGGATATAATTGGATATAAGTATTGGTAAGTATTGTTAGATATAAGATTTAGCTTATAAGTATGGTTAGATATAAGATTTAGCTTATGATGTTTCTGTATTGTTTTTTTAAATTTAGTTCATATGATTTAAAAGGTTGCAATTTGGCTACTTATAATATAATCGAAAAAAATAGAAATCCATCTTTTTGCTGAAGACGAACAAAACTTCAACATTTTTATTGTTGTAATGGTTCTATCCTAATTGATCCCGATTTAACAGTATACTGTAAAAGAAAAACAACAGAGACGAACTCATCAAACCGCATTCTTTCTCAAACCGAGAGATCCATTAATCAAGATCCTTATGGATACGTCCAAATGACATATTTACTTGTCCAAATAGGTTAACAAAACAACAATTTTATAACATGACCTAACTGGAATTTTTTTATACATTGAGGGTACTAAAGGAATCCTATAGTACATTTAGCCTAATTTTTATTATTAAAAGATCTGTGTGCAATTTGAATAGTTTAATGTCATTTGACAGATTAACATGACCATTTTCTATTGTTTTCTTCATCCTCTTATGCTTGTGCCTGCTTCCAAACGCCTCTCTTCTTTTGACAATTCAATAACATTGAAAAAAAAAATCCATTTAGGGGCAAAAAGGGTATTTATCCAAGGAAAAAAAATGCAATTTAGCGACGAGAATGGTGGAATGATAATGAGTGATGCTGACTGAAGCAAGTGAAATGGCAATAGCATCCTTCATTATTATTGTTCATTACTAAAATGTAAGATGCAGCTGCACATGAGTTTATGAAGTATCCCCCCGTTTTTTGCAGTTCAGTTACAGCGTTCACTATAAGATTAGAAGTGTGTACAGATACCGTTACCGAACGCAGATAGATGCTGCCAGGAAGCCGCCTTCATCACAATCTCTATGTCAGACTACTCCAGCAGGGAGGCGGACGACGAGCTGGCCGCCAAGAACGCTGCAACAACAACAGCGTTGAAAGAGCAAACATGTATATAACAAGAAGAGAAATGAAGTTTACATATGATTTTATATATTAAGAGGTTTGAAAACGATTCAAACCTACGAGATATGCTCGTGTTGTCGTTTTTAAAACTGTTCTATACGCATGGTTGAATGGCTACTAAAAATTAATACTAATGTGCAAGCTGAAATCACTATTCAAATACATGTGAGGGAATAAAAACTTCAAATGCTAGACAAGAAATAATTCCTGAGAGCCTACCAGTTATCACTGAAAGAGAACAAGAAAAACAACTTTAATATATATACTTTTTGGTTCTTAAAAAAAGAAAACTGTACTGAGACAGTTCACAAAAAACTGCTAAATTTTTTAGACTTCAAGTTTGATTTCTGAATTTTTACCCATTTTTTATTTTATTTTGGTCCCAGCACTTTTAAAATCTCACATTTCAGTAAACTTCAAATTTAGTCCCTGCCATAAAAATTTTATCTTGAGTTAATGAGAATCAAAGATAACTTATTGCATTCAAAACTAAATATAGAATTTATTTAATAAAAGTTGGAGGACTAAAGCTAAAATTTTTAAAGTGACCAGGGACCAAAATAAAAAGTAAAATTGGTAAGACTTTAGGAAGCAGAATCAGATGTAAATCCAAAACAATACAGAAATTTGAAAATCTGAAAGGAAACAGGGTACCGACCTTTTAACATAGTAATAACAAAAATCTGCAAGAACAAAGGTTTGGACTATTTCTGCAAGAAGAACCATAGGAGGCCATAGTCCATATCCCAACGCTACCAGCAGTCCCCCACGAGTTGCTACCATCTATATATTTATTATAAAAAAAAGAAAATAAAAATAACCAACGGTAATTATAGCTCAAATCTATGTACAATTCAAATTATACATATAATTATATGGACTAAGGTTGATGCACAAACTATGAAACAAAATCAACAAATCAAGAATTAAATCAACTCGAGTGCCGGACAGTGTAGGTTTCTTCTTGACCGTCTAATTTTGCAAATCTTTGTAGGCATGACTGAGTCAAGGTTAATTATGGTTTTCGTCTCCTTAAACTTTTATCAATTTTTCATTTCGGTACTGGAACTTTAATAATGTTGATTTTAGTTCCTTGAATTTATATTATTTAATATGTTGGTCCTTTTGACAGTTCAATTTTAGTCCTCAAGTTTTCATCAAAGTCCAAATTTAATCCCTACCATAAAAGTGGCAATCAAGGTAAGATGTCCATATACAGTATTGATAACCTGCACTGTAATATTACTCACTTTTTCAATAACTTGGGATAAAATAAATATGGCAAGGACTAAATATGAAGTTTAAAGTTGAAGGACCAAAATTTAAATTTTAAAAGTTGAAAGAGCAAAATAGAAAAGTAGATAAAAGTAGAGGCTCCGCAACAATCACAACATGGATAAACATGCACATCATTTTTTTTTAACAGGAAGTTGGAGCTTTGCTCTCCTATACTCGAGGGCACGTGTGCCCGCCCCAAGGATAAACATGCACATCATTCACAATCCAAAATAATTAAAAGCATAGAAACATAAAAAAGAAGGGGATAAAAACGTGTTTGCACGCACTTCGGCTCGTTTTTGTATTATAATGTAGCCCAGATATTAAGACTGCAAATCAGTTTTTGAAATTTACAATTACAGGTACAAATGCAATATATGAAGTTTGAGATGTATGGAAAAACCTGAAGAATCCAATGTGCACAGCTCAGGAACCTGGCAATTCCCAAGGCAAATACATAATGCGCAGTGAATGGCTCAACAATCTGGACAATAGGAAACAAGAGGTGAAAGGAATACAAAATTGAAAAGGGATGCTAGAGAATTGGGCTTCAAATATGAACAATTTTAAACTTTCTGATCAGCCAGGCACCTGGGAAAATCTTTTCTCATTTCAAGAGGGATTCGGCAATACTAGGCTCCATGAGTCAATTTTAACCTAAACTTTCAACTTTACCAAATTTAACCTTAAACATGAACAGTGGGGGTGAAATTAATACCCTATTTAGAAGTTTTCATCTTTAAGATTTGTAAATGGCTATGAACATTATTGTGACTACTTCTGTGAGTATTGGTATTCTTAGCTGGGCTGGATTTACTTTTAAGCTGGGTTTGGGCGTTTCTTTTTTTCCTGAGTTAGAATATTTTTTACCCACTTGAATTTGTAACCATGTTCAGATAGTTTCATAGTTGGGTTTAGATGTTCCTATGGCTTGCTTTTCAGTTTTGAGTTGAACTTTGTACCAATTATTGGTTAGTAACTTTTGGGCAATTTTCTAACTTAGTTTTTAGAAGGTACTTATCAAGCTTAGGATTTAATTTGATGAAATTAGAAGTTTAAAGTTAAAATTAAAACAGGATAAAAATGAATATTCCCCCTTTATCTAAATGAGGAACAGTCGGAGGAATATGTATATTAATTGTCACCTTTATGTTCTGCATGACTCGCAACTGAGGTAGAACAGAAATCGCTTCAAGGTAAACACAAAACGCCCAGAAAATTCTTTGCAAAATAGAAACTCTTAGTGGTGTCGGATGAATGACGATGGAGAGTAAAATACATGGTATCACCTGCATCCAGGAATAAGAATAGAATGAATAGAATTATGAAGAGCTATAGATTGAACATTTATCATTGAAGTATGATGAAAACAAAACTTGAAAGGATTATATTGAATCACAAGTACAATACATCAAACATATTTGACTTCAAGTTTCAATATATTCTCAAAGAGGTGCAAGCCTCTTGTGATCCTACAAAAAAGGATAAGCTTCGAGGTAATAATTTCTTTTAAAACATTGATAAAAACTGATCAAACAAACTCATGGCAGACTTTCTGCATTATCTGGCTGATTTTAGTAAACAAAAGACTCAAAGATGAACTAATATGAGTTAAGAAACATAGAGGCTGTCATCCCAAAGAAATTTCAGCAGAAAAAGCAAATTGATCGATTTATGAAAGTATAACAACTCGGCACATATAAGAAGATACTCGTGAAAGATCATATACAAGTTTCCATTCCAATCCACACACTTTTTGCAGAAATTGACCAAGAACCAAAGTTGAAGAAAACTCACCAAGTATAGAACTTTAAAATCATCTTTGTCTCTCATGTAACTGGCTTTGAGCTCGAAACGGATCATGTAAATGACCCAAAGAGTTGCTACTAAAGTAGCCAAATCAAGGAATGTGTGTACGTCATATTCAATGACAAAGCTGCAATAGAGTCTAGCAGCTAGAAAATAAGCAGTTAATTCCTGTGACTTGAGTGAAAGACCTGCAGAAAAACCAAGGAGAAAGAATTCAAGCTTATTCTAAATTGTTAACGCAACAGCTCAAATCACTTCAAAGAGGAAACTCAACCATCAAAATCCGAAACAACAACTAGAAGCTAAACAAAGCTCACTGTAAGAAAAAAACCTCAACAAAAACCAGAAGCCGAACCAAGCTTACCATCAAAATCCGATACAAGAATCAGTTCCATCATTAAGGAATTCAATAGGTAAAATTCAATCAAATCAAAAGCAGAAATTCGCCATCTCCGAAACAGAGAGAGCTCCAAACCAAGAAAAACAAACAGAAATTCAAACTACGATTACAGAGACCAAAAGGGGAAAAAGAAATTACAGACCAAAAACCCATCGAAATTATACCTGCACAACTCCTCTCCTTCATGAGCTTATATATAAGAACCGCAATTCCGGTTGCATGAACAGCCTCAGCGGCCACAAAAAGCTTGTTGTGATCATGAACCATCACATAGAGAAGAACAAGAGAGATGATAGCAGACACCACCCCCAAAAACGCTTTCATCTTCGGGGGTTGCCTCCCAACCCATACCTTAATGGCATGAATCGGCCTCCTGGTCCTGGGTACCTTCATTTCTCCTCCCTTCTCTCTTGTAACCCTAAAATTTCCCTAATCCGATAGCCTCTGGAAAACCCGCAGCTCAGTGGGTTGGTGATGAGAGTGGAGAAATAAGATATTATAACACCCCTTGTTTGGTATTACCCTTTCAGAGTTGAAATCGTGGGCCACGTGAAATAGGGCAGTGAAATAGTGAATTGGGGATTTATTATCGCCATTAATGAGGGCATTAGCGAGCTCCACTCCATTGCCACGGAACTGAACTGAGCCACTGAGCATTAAAAAATTCGGAATTTGTTGTAATGATCAGGTTGCGACGGAACCATAAGCGTGGTGGAATTGCTAATCCCATTTTCTGGAATCTGGATCAGAAAAGAGAGGAAAAAAAAGAAAAAATGGACACGAAGAACTGCGCACTACTACAAAATTTGGTTGGTGGCTAACTGTGATTCGGTAATATTTTGTGACCTGTGAGAGAAGAAAGAGGCGCATGCTCCAGGTGCTGAATAAGGGAGGGGGAGAACAACGGCGGCAATATAATTTTAAATATTTAATTTCCCAAATTAAATTGTTTCTAGACGGAAAAAAAAAAAGAAAAACGAAAGTTTTTGCCAGATTGCAAGTAAAATGGTGGCTACAATCACACGAGTCACCAGGCAAAAGTACTCCGTCAAATTTTCGATTTTTAAAAGAAACTGAATATGTACTAAAAAAAAATATTAAATACTTAAGTATTTTAGACGATTAGAGCCCATCATCACGTTTTTTAGACGCAATAAAATAGTGATAAATAATGGGTCGATGGAACATGGTTGAGCACACAAGGACGATTCGTTAATGTTTGCTTATTTTTAATTAAAAAAAGAGAATTGTATGACGTTAATACTGTGAATTCAATAATGATAAAATAATATCTTTATGTTGAAATAAATTAAAAACGAAATAAGAAATTGTTTTCAAAATTTATATACAATTTCAAGAACGTTTCTAAAAAAAAAGAAATCTAAATAGTTGTATCCCAAAATACTTAAAATCATGTTTAAGATTGATGGATCCACAAAATAATGAGTTTCATTGTTTCTTCTTTATTCCAAATAATGAGTTTCATTGTTTCTTCTTTATTCCATATTGATGAGTTGATAAGCTCTTGTAGCGGTCTCAATTTTAAATGTATTTTTAGGCATGACGTTTTTAGGGGTTTTCTTTTAGAAAATTTTGTTGATTTAGTTTGAATTGCTGTGTTATATAAATTTTTTTTTTCAATAACAAACATGGGTTATTAAAGAAAGTAATACACTAATATGAGATTGTTTGGTAATAATCCTTTGATATCAAAGTTATTATTATTCTATTATTTAAAACATCTTTTGGTATATCTTATTAACTTTTTACGAGAACGTTTAGCTTACTGTTATTGCGGTGTAAATGGTGAGTAGAAGAAATAATTTCTTCAAGGGAGATTTTGTTGACCAACTTATTTGTTAATTAATTTTTTGAAAAATGGTTTTCTGATTTTTTTTTCTTTTATTACATAATTCTTATAGAAAATACATAAGATGTTTTTTTTTCTACTAATGGTAAATGGGTTGGTTTGAATAAAATAAAGATTGAGTTGAAATTTAATATTCAAGTACGTATTTATTTAAAAGGACCCCTTTTTTGCAACTAGTTGGCACCTTTTTTCCATTTTATTTTTTTATTTTTGAAAAATGTTCATACATATCATCCATTCAAATTAGTCACTATCCAATTTCTAATAACCATTTTGACTTTTTTAAAATATATTTTTAACATATCCCAACAAAATAAGCACGAGAACCCAACAAGTGAAACATCAAACTAAAGAAAAAGATAGCAAAATATTAAATACTTGATAAGTTAAACTATATATAATCTATGTACACTAAATATTTTCTTCATTGTTCTGACCTAATAATCACTTCACTGTTCTAAGTTAGAGACTGCTAAGATTATGTTAATGCTACCACAACTATCTAAATCATTTGGCCTAGCTTATGCTGCTACCACTTGTTTGATTCTCAGCTTAATCACCAACTATATACAAGCTTCAGTTCAAAGCACTTACAAAACGACGCGCTTACACCGGGCAAGGTGACAGTAGAAAATCTGGTTGTCGACGTTGTAGCAGTATACCGCAAAAGGGACACAATGGTTTCGAGGGTATCTCAGAATCAGATAGTGTTAACGAACTGAAGTCAGGGATCTCAGACATCTGGAAAAGTATATCTGGAGGCAATCTGAAAGCACTTCTACAACAACAAACGCAGAACCATAAGGGAGTTGTAGCAGGGCAGACCTGCATTGAGACTGAACACCTTACTAGTTTGTGAGTCTGACCAGCTCCACTACTGCACTTAACGCCCTGGCAAAACCCGAACTCGGGAGACTCGAATGGAACCGATGCTGAACAGAAGGTACACTGCTCCACTGCTGAATGCTCGCTGGATCAAGGCACAATGGAGTTCAATTATAAAGGAGATTGTCAGTATGCAGATGATTGGCATTCAAATCACAAGTTTGGAAATGAATACACAAATTTCGCTGCTTTAAATTTGAAGGAAACCATTTAGAATAGTGGCTGCCCCCAATCATGTTCAGTAATAGTGGCATTCAAATCACAAGTACTATTTAGAAGAAAGCTTAGTTCTAGATGGAATGGAGAAAATTCCAGAAGAAATTTCACAAGGAAATGGCAATTACAGAAAATATGAACAGATTCAATGCATAAGTTGAGAAATATGTCATGTCATGTGTAAGCAAGCTCCTAGACTCAAGAGAGCACTTCCTTTGACCATTCAAAACAGAATCTAACTTAATCAGAATCTCCATATATATCAAAGAAACAGAGAAACAAAGGAAATTTCTAATTAGATTTTACAATTAGCCTTTCAATAACCATGTCCTGCTATATAATCCCAAAAAGTTTTAAGAAGAAAATTAATCAAGTTGCTTTTTAAAAATTTTCAAAAATTCTCCTGCCATATACAGACAAGTTTTGGAGAAAGCGTGATCCAATACCAATAGACAATGCAGAAGTAAACAACATTTTTCATATTCAATAAAACTTGGCCAATTTAGCAAGCTGATACTCCAAAGCCAAATAATTAAACTCAAGTCAATCTCATTGACTGGTAATACCCTAATGCAGTCAAAATACATGACGAGAGAGAGAATAAATCATACTATGAGAAATTTAGAGGAAGAAACAATGATTCATGTAGAAAATTACATTGATTCAACAAATAAACTATTTATTTATCCACATAATTTACCGTTTCAATTTGACTAAATGTAGTAGATTCAAATTGACATCCTATGTAATGTTAATGAACTTGCAAGTGTCCACTTTTACCTAATTAATAAACATCTCATTCTAAAGCCATTGCTTCTTCTTCCTTTTTTCTTTTTACAATTATATTATATTCTACATCATCTTTTTTAATATCTTTGGTTACCTTCACAATATTTTAAACCTTATCTTCTTTCTGCACCTATATTTTGAACTATGAATATTGGCGATACTTAAGAATCAATGAAATGGAGCAATGATCCTTTTGGAAGGACTATTTTAATTTTCTCCATGCATACGACATATTATTTCATCTGGTTAAATGCCATTCAAAGCAGCCTAACAGATCAGTTCAACTCTGCTAGATCTAAGGAAACTGAAACTAATCAGGAAATTAAACAAAAGAAAAAAAAAATCGATTACCTCCTATGGTGTATTCCAGCTTCTTCTGATGCAATGCCTTTTACCGATTCACGTAAATTTTCATGATTATATCTAACCCACTGCTGCATTTCAACTAATCCAAYGGGATACCAGTATCCAGGTCGATATTTGGTAATGGACAGTGAAGGAAGCTTTGCACAGGCAAAAAGACTAAGACCGATTAGCCTCTGACGGAGGTCTCTTTCACTGCTTAAAAGCARCTCTTTCCACAAAATATCCTTTTCATCTTCATCGTCATTAAGTTTTTCCAAGTTCTGCAGTTCGTTATTCACTTGATCCTGCATCAATTCTGAAAGAACTACACGTCTACAAATAACATTAAGGAGGTGAAGCTGGCGAGTGGAAAATGTCGACACATTTCTTGATACACGCAACAAAATCTTTGGAGCGGAKAGCTCCTCGTTGCATTGGAGATACGATGATGCAAGCCACTTAAGTAGAATGTAGTCGACATATTCTGGTATAGACTGCCTAAAAGCCACCAAGGCTGCTACAACATCCCAAACAACCATAGGCTTATTCAGATCTTTAAATTTATTTAAAGACCACGACATACTGGATTCCCAATGAACAAATTCCTTCTTAGAAAGATCCGGAAATTTTTCAGCATCAAAGTATGAGCAACTGTTTGGCATGACTTCCATTTCTTCTCCTCCAATCCAGAAGAATTGAACAGCAGCTCTCTGAGCCCTGTGCAATTTTCCAAACCATAATGGGTCATTCAAACATATTGTAGATGAAGAGAAAGCATGAAATATCAAATAATTCAATCATTCATAAAACCTAAAACTCGATTGCTAAAATCCAAACAATTTCTCTACCTTGCTTGATACATTCGGTCAAGTGATTCAATATCAAAGTTGCGAACCTGRAAAAACAAACACTTGCATTTTTATAATATATTCTTGATGTACATACAGTCACAGCAATGATGTGTGCAAGAATTGAAATAAAGTTTCTTCCACTTTAATTTTCACGTCTCTTGGATATTGTATAGCACAATATTTTCCTTGTTTTTTTTATCAGGTTATGGTCCTTCTAGGAGTTTCAACAATTTATTTTCGCAGCATCCTTTTAGTTGTTCACATATTGTGTAAATCTCAAGCCAAAAATAATAAAAACACCAAATTTTCAAGGCACAAAAGCAAAAGCATCGGTGGTGTTTTTCTTGACATCTATTATGCAGAAAAATAGGTTGTAAACAATGAATCGTACCACAGCAGCCACAAGATTTCCTGGGGACACTGCAATGCCAAAGCATGACCGAAATGTATCTGGAAGCTGCAAATACGTATCACCCTTCATGATCCAAAAAAGAAAATATCTTTGTGCAAATGTAGACACATAATGCAAGCTCTTACATCAATTGAGCTTCCAAAATGAGGGATGTGTGATGAAATGGGCACTCCACGGAGAGAACTCCCATCTAAATTCCAACCACACAGAATATTATCCTGTCATRAATAAAATAATTTCCCAATTTCATGATAGATGAGTTGAAGATTTATCACATAATTGTAAGAATGGGTTTATAATGCTTTTTGCAAAAAAGTACATATCACGGCCATAACTATGGCCAAACATTGGGCAACAAGTTCCATTTGATTTGATGTACATAATCTTCCACAAATATACAGCAGCAGTATACCAATTTCATTTACAATATATAAAGTCAAGCCAGTAAGTGGAACACCACTGAATTAGTCTTCATTCAGCAGATAACATACATCCATATGAATTTCAATACCTCACTGCAGGTGAACAAATAACGTGCATCAAAACCCCAAGCTATACCTGTAACCTGGTGAAAACTTAGTTGAGTAAAGTTGTGCAGTAAGATTATCAAGAATTTCCATCAATTGACAAAATACTTACAACATGATCATGTGCACCATACAGTACATTATCAAATTCACTGCTAGGTATGTTAAATATCCTTATTTCAAGTGATCCAGATCCTCTGCCAATAGCTAAAAATAGTTTATGCACATGTAAGTTGGGAACACTGAGTGAAAGTAGAGTAATTGGCACTGCTTCACCACTGATTACCTACAAAGTAATATGCAATTTTAACGAGATTCCTGAAGTAAAATAGAATATTATAAAAAATTAAAAAAAAAAAACCAGTTTAAGGAATTGACAAATACCTCCTTCAATAGGGAGAAGGAAGCAAAATTAGAGTCTGAAGATGCTAATAGTTCTTTACAATAACATTGCCAGATCCTCACACTAAAATAACAGAGGAATCAGAACGGTTCACAAGATATCAGTAATAGAATCAAAAGTCATATGGACCTAACGTTCCATTCCCACTATTTCCCCTTAAAAGTGACAGTAAAGCATTTTAAGGGTACTCCAACGAAATAAAATAGAAAATAAATAAATAAAAGAAAAGCACTGGTTGACAACCGAACATTAGACTGTAACAGTTAAACAATAGTTTCATTTTCATCCAGTAACTGTTATACCATCCCCATTTATAGGCACACTGATAGGCATCTTGATTGATACTATCAACACAAAATAGTCAAACAGATAACAGGGCCAACAAAACTCCCTAGYCCCTACCCATGACGTGACTAACTAATTCCATATAATATAAAAGTAAAACATGTATGCCCCCTGCTAACTAACTCCCAGGAGTGGTATTTCCCTCGTTATACTCTTCCTACRAATGGCCTAACAAGGCTAACATTAAACAATATCTTATCATATTAGCTAGTTAACAACTTCACAAAAGAATCCTAACCAACATAGTCATCAGTGTTGCGGTAAAAAGATTTGAAATTTTTTCAGAAAATTAATATATTGTGAAAGAAAGTTCTTGATGAAATGAGGGGCACTTATGATGTAAGTTAGAAAATTTTAACAGTATACATACCCAATTCACACTCACCTCCCATCCGTGCTCCCAGTAGCCAATAAAATCTTTGGGTTTGATGAATCAGAATCAAACAACGCCCAGCTGATACAGTTGATCCATGAATTGTGTGCCTGAAGAAGCCCAACAAGCAGAGCTCTTGTTGGAACCATGCACTCAGCAAGGGAGTAGCAATCTGGTACATTAACCTTCCAAAATGTAACTTCACCAGACTTTGCTCCTATGGCAAGAACACTGACAGATGAATTCAGATGCGGATGAACACTATGAGATGGCTGCATCACTGGGGACCAAGCAAGAACAAGAGACAACAGCATTGCGCTGCGAGAAGCATATTGTTGTGCACTAATAAATTGGATCACGGAGCTTTCTCCTGTCCTCCTGGGACGTTTCTCTTTCGATTTATCCAATGGTTGATTCAAACTGCTTTCATTGCTGGCCAGAATTGAACATCAGATTCCTAAAAGGATAATTGATAATAAACAAACAGGACAGAATTTCAAACAAAACTACAATCTGGTTCACATCAGGTAAGATTCTTTTTTAAGGAAACAAACGTCTCAATAATGCAAAAAGTTACAAAACAGCCCACTATCTATACAGGTCAGGTCTTACAAAAATGCACAACCATTTGAACTATCACATCTTGGAGGATCTTTTTATTTTGTAGTTAGTTTGATTCTATTGTTGGCTTTTGATATCACTTGTTATTTTGATTGTATTGCTCCTTGTAGAGCCTATTTTCTGCTTTCATCTTTTCTTTTTTCTCTCAGGAGTTTGTATCATTGAACTTTTTCTCCTTTTCATATGCCAATGAAAAGTTGTTTCTTGTTAAAAAAAGAAAAAAAGAATATATATATATATATAGAGAGAGAGAGAGAGAGAGAGAGAGTAGCGGCAAAAGAAATAGATAAAGAACACCATGAGGAAGTATAACAATGAGCCAAGTCAGTCACTTGATCCCAATCTTTTCCCTTTCCACTAAATATTCTAGAATTCCTTTCAATCCAAATATTGCATAGGATTGATTTTACCATGTTTCTCCACAAAATCTTTCGTTTCCTCCTCAAGTTACGACCACATAACTGTGGAACTATGTACTCCTTTGCATTCAGAAAAAATACATCACGAAAGGGATAAAGGTTGACAAGGACAAATTCTGCAAGGAAACTATACCATTGGGAAACCTAGATCCACAATATCAGGCGGCTTAGAGTCAAAGTTGAAATTTCATTATCTTGTCAATATGAAGGCTGGTCTATGAAAACTCTAGAGCCCTTGTTACTACATGAGCTTCATCATATAACATGAAGTCAACCAACTAATATGCTAACATTTGATATTATCCTACGATTTCTTTGATAATTTATAGGATATTGTGCTGAATGCTAATACTGATGATATATACATAAGAAAAATAATCACTTTACTTTAAGTTCAATGCATCATTGTTTCTTCGCTTATGGTCCTCGCTTGTGAAATGCTCTTGGACATCGACAACACTCCCATTTGCCTCTCTTGGTATCTAATTTTATTGATGCAGACAAATTGTCAGAGGTTTAAGTTGATGATGCAAACCAGGTGAGTTGGTGAATCAAGAAACTTACATCAGAAAATTTTGAGCAAGGAACATCCAACTCCCCAAATTTAATACTTGCAAGATAATCGTAAAGATTATTTGATATGTCCATAATCTACCGAGATCATAAGAAAGAAAGTTAAAATAACCACCATGATTTAACATAAACAAAAAAGTAATAACACATTGTAATGTCTGCAGTGTCATTCATATTATTTAAAAAAAAAAGAACCAATTTACAATTTGGGTATAAAAGTAGCCRCTCCAGGTCATCTGAGCATGTGCTTATTGCAAGGTAAAGGTTAGTGAACAAACTTACATAACCACAGTGTTTTAAAAAGCTCGAGGCGCACTAAAGCGCAATAGACCTTTGGAGCTTAAGCGCAAGGCACAAAAAAAAGCGCGGGCTTTTTTTTGCAAGGCGCACTATACATAAAAGATACATAAATGTATATGAATATGTACATGATAACAAACCTTCATAGAGATAAACAAGATATAACATAAGTTATGTAAAAATCAATAAATACTCAATTTTTAAGGTGTGAAATATTAAGAAATCTATAATATTCAAATAAAAACTAACTTAAATAATTATGTAAGGTAAAATAT